GAGAGCGAAGAGATGAGAGAGGAGAGAGAGAGGAGAGAGAGAGAGAGGAGAGAGAGAGAGAAGAAAGAGAGAGGAGAGAGAGGAGAAGAGGAGAAGAGAGGGAGGAGAGAGAAGGAAAAAAATATATATATATGTATTATAATATATATATATATAATATATATATATATATATATATATAATATATATATATATATATGTATACATAGCACAAATATACTTAATAAGCATGTCGACTTCGTGAAAACGGGCATACGCATGCCGGGCTTCAACCACCACGCAAGACCCACGCAGCACCCCAGGCATCATTTTTGTGCCGGTTCTCTGGCGGAGTTTGGTGTATTGGTAGGAGCGACAGATGGCAGAAGCCCTAGCGGATCATTTACAAAATAAGAGTGGGACTGGCTGCGTTCTAAATACCATGGCATAGAATTGAAGTTTACATAATAATATTTTGTTAATTAAAATTTCACACAAGTTTTCGAGGCATATTCTTTTGTTACAAGTTGCATTTTATTTTTACTACCGGGCTCTGTAAAATAATGTAAGAGACTGAGACAATTTTATGCATAACTGCGGACTGGTGGCGCGTCGACGTTGGTGTTCGGGATGTGGTGCGGATGCTACTCTGACGTGTGTGGTTTGATGTAATTATGTGTAGTTTAGGGGGAGGTCAGGTGCTAAAAACATTGTTCAAGTGTCTGCCTTTGTTTTAAAACATGGATAGCTGGGCCTGGGCAAACGCTAGTCAGGCATTGGCAAACCATGCCCAAGCGGGAGCAGTGCCAACGGCAAATTCTACACCTCAGGCTGGCTTGGAGAACTGGGCCAACACCGGAGTGGGCTATGGAAGCTTCGGAGCGATGGTATGATTTTGAACTTACTCTGGTATTTGTTTGTATGGATCGATGTGAGCATCATGTAGGCGTCAGCACCCATTCAATAGCTGTCACCTTGGACACCCACAAGTTACAATGATGCTGGTACTTGTCATGATATATCTGCATTCCTGCAATAATATGTGTGTCTTATTATCAGCATGCAACTTGTGACAGATGATGAGATAATGTTAGGTAGCTGGCAGAGAGATATTGTAATTTTGCCAAGGGTTGGGGGGGGGGGGGGGCAAGAATAAGTGATAGGATTTAAAAAATTGAGCTTAGTTGATGCATGATGTTCAGGGGTTTAATTTTGATGTTTTGATTTTGGCTATTTGAACCATATATGAATATAACACATATATGAGTGTCTCTTCTAGTTCTGGTCAGATAAGCCCATAAATACTGCTCTGAAGGGAAGGGAATCTTTAATTGGTAGTTTCTGGCTTTGGAATTGGATATTGGCTAAAATGTCCACATGAATCATTCCTTCTGGCCTGCCTGAAAAATGCGGTAAATGCAGCAAACCTTGGCTAAACTCCATATCTGTAACAAATAATAATGCCCTAACATGCCTAAAAAGCTGAATACTTCACTTATGATCTTTCAGTGAGAAATCCTTTTGGAGTCATTGCTGTCCAAATACAAAAGTAAAGATGCCAAGGCTAATTATAGTGCACCTGATTTATTGTTTGCTCTTATCAATTCATCCACCCAGTTGATAGTTATGATATATTTGTTGGCAGTGCAGTCAACATTATGTATATTTAGCATGATATTTAACTATTATTCAAAATGATCATCACTATGATGCAAAAATTCAGTTTTTATGATTATTACCTCTTCTTTATTTTACTCCCCATTATTTTGTTATGACTGATCAATGTACACTTTGCAGCACAAATGTCTTCTAGGGTCCAAGGCATGCTTTTGGTACTCTTCATGTAAATACTTGGACCTTAATTTTGTTTTTTAAAACTCTTGAAACTAATCAGCAGCAGATTTTGTCCTATCAAGCTAAGATGTCTGACAAAAACAGCTGCAACAACAGGTGCTCACAATGCTGCTCATGTTCTGCTGCTCACAGTAATACATCTATCACTATTCCAGGCTAGCCAGTTTGGTGTGGCTGGATGGAACCCCTACCAGCAAGGAGTTGTGATGGGAGGTACCCAGGGATTTGTGCCTGGCCAGCAGCTGTGGAACGGGCAACAACAGCAGGCTGCTCAGCAGCAACAGCAGCAGCAGCAAATGGTTGCTGCTCAGTGGGGCCAACATGTTAGTATTTTAACTTGCTGTAGGCACTGACATGCATTTATGGGATGTGACCAGCAGGTCTTTATTAACCATCATTTTTAGGTTGATAACGTGCATGAAGTGTATCATAATCTACCCCTGCCTAATTGTGTCCAGCTTCATCATCGTTATATGAGGAGAAGCTTCATACACACATGCCACTAGAATAAATATCTTTCAAGATGGCTTAGTTGCCATACAATCACTGGCCAGCAGTAAATTGAATTATGGTCAAGATAATGGCACAATTTTATGAACATTCCTGTTAATGGAAAGCAGAACAATCTCAAACAGTTGCCACATACCAGTCCTACTTGACTTGGGAGCATTCTGATAGGCTCCACTAACTGTCTGCATTTGCAGCTGGCTGCACAGGCTGTCGCCTCACCAGCGCCGTTCAGTGTACAGGTTCCACCGCCGCCGCCTCCACCACCGCCAGCGCAGCAGGCCGTCGCCTCGCCTGCACCGCCGCCGCCGGCGCCGGTACCCATCCCAGCGCCCGTGCCGGCGCCGGCGCCGGCGCCAGCGCGGCGGCCGGCGCCGCCGCCGGTCGCGCCGCAGGGCGCCCCGCCGCCGGCCGTCGGCGGCGCCGCGCCGGTCCGGCTCACCCCTAAGGAACAGGAGGTATGCCCACTTCTGCCAGTACAGGGCCCTCTCAGCCTTGGTGGCCAGGTGGTTCAGCGATGTGAGAGTGGCTGATACTAACAGAGGGAATAACAGAGTATCGTGCTGGTGAAGGTATGGGGTGATGTGTGAAAGCTTCTATATGCATCCATGCACAAGCCATAAATATGCCTGTTTGTGGGGATCTTTGGAGGACCTATATCAGATTTTAGTAATCAATGCAGGCTGAGAAGTGAAGCCAGTAACTTATAGTCAAATATATCATCCACCCCGCAAATCATTTGGTGATCCAATGACCACATGTTATGCCATGTCAACATTCATTCACCTTGTCAATGAAAACTGTGATATCTTCATAGGCCCCAAGCCAGCTAATATTCTTGCAATGTCAGTTGTAAACTTGGACATGGACAGTAAATATCAGTGCACTTCTGCCTGCCAAACCCATGTGAGGAGGATGTTGCTATGGATCGACCAGTCCTTTCCATACTGGTTGGCTTAAATGACAGGCTCCATTTCCCTATGTTTTTGGTGATCTACAAGGTAATAGCAATCGCGCTCGCCATCACGTGCCTGCTTCCACGCCGCTAAATATGTAACTGGTACCCTGCATATGAAATGTGTCAGTTTCTTGATTTGTGTGTGGGACTGGGTGTAGTTGGAATGATGTTTCACTTGTTATAGCTGGGGGCAAGGTGGTGTATTGGAAGCAGTCTTGCGTCACATTGTTCTTATGGATGTGATGAAGCGAACCTTGGTTGCATTGTCAATGCACATAAGAGTAGCAATAGTCCTGTTGCTGATAATTTATTGATATCATAAGCTGGATAGATGCCATTTACCCTTCACGGACATGGAAAGCCAGCAACAAAAGGGAAAGAACTGAAAGGTGATTGGCTTTACCCCCATGGGTGGAAGAAGTGTTGCAGGAGAGCTAACAGCATGGTGGTTATTTGTCGCATCAGGAGCAGGGGATGTCCGAACGCCGCATCTGTTCTGCTGCAGTCGCCCGGCAGACGCCGCCACGACCGCTCCTGTCGGCTCCCCCGACGTGCTAGTGTTGTGCCTAGGCTGTGCTGCTGACTCAGTCAGGTACTACATTAGCGCGCTGGAGTGGCCGGTCCATACTCCCGACCAGGGCTGACTCACCGTGTGTAACGCTGGCACAGAGATATTAATGTTAAGAGGTCTTCAGTGGTAATCAGCCTTATAATGATAGGTCTTCGGTGGTAATCAACGTTATAATGATAGGTATGTGGTGGTAATCAACCTTATAATGGTAGAAGGTCTATGGTGGTCATCAGCCTTGTCCCCATGTGAAACACTTAGCATTGCAATGGACTATGAAATATGGAGAAGATGAACATATTGATTTCAGACATGCTTAGCTGTTATGTCAGCTGTTATAAGTCTGTTAGTTACAAGTGATTATTTTATGTTGGAATCTGATGAAAGTCTGAGCTCTTAGAATAAAGTGGAACACCATGCCATTTGCGCCATGCTGCCCGACTGGATCTAAGCTTTAGTGTGCGGTTTTTGTTGCTTTTGAAATTATATTTCCTGAAATAGTCTGTTTCGGATCTGGGACAGATCTAGCATGACATTTGGATCTGTTCAAAAGATACCTTTGGAAATTGAACTCTTTGACAGGCAATGCTTTCTTGAACCTAAGTCCAACATCAGAAATCAAATTCGCATCCATTGCATAGATGCGTCTAGAAGTGTGGTAAAAGTAAGGCTGAAATGTGAACCAATCACTGACTGGATCATGTGCACCGGCACGTGTTTACACGCAGGACAGCGCAGCCACGCGTAGCTTACGCTCTGGAGGCCCTGCAGTCCACCCAGTACTCTGGAGGCCCTGCAGTCCACCCAGTACTCTGGAGGCCCTGCAGTCCACCCAGTCTAATTTTTGTTCTAGATCAGATATCAGATCTCGCTCCGCCCAGCTGTGGTCGTGTTGTGTTCATCGGTCGCACCTCCGCTGCATGGAATGTGACCTGATAAGGACCGTCCCGGCTGCTCCAGGAGATCCGCCAGTTGCAGAGGGCCGACCAGCTGTTTGACAAGCAGTTCAAGTCCTGGGAAGAGCAGTTCAACAACTGGAAGGAAGAGAACAGGGGACATGCGGACAAGTCCCAGCTAAAGTGAGTGCTCACTTCACTGCCACTTGTGCTGCGCTATCTTCCAATGACAACTGCTCGTCGGCCTCCCGTAAGCAAGCTTGGACTCCGACCAACTTGGACGCCAGCCATGCCCATGTTTCATGCATTTGAGGCTTTTCTATCTTCCTATCCCGGGCTTGAGTGTTCCCCGATTAGGTCGAGGCCGATATCTTCAGCATTCTGGTGGCTGTTTCACTGCGCCTCGGAAAACTGTCATTGTCTTGAACCTTTAACGAGAAAACGGCGCGGTGTGAACGTGAGACATGAACAGTACGGTTCCGACGATTTGTCCATGTCAACTTCCACTACCCCGTGGGTCCCCGCCAGGTCCTTTGTTTTCAATTGTACGCTAGCTGTTGGCAGGGAGGGAATGTTCCCCCATATCCACATAACTCAATTCCTGTAACACCAAACGATTAAATTTTTTGTCCGTTCCGGTGGCTCAGTTGGTTAGAGCGCCTGCCTTCCGATCCACCCACCCGCGGCAAGGTGGGTTCGAGTCGCTTTAGGGCGCTCGCGATTTGCCCTTGGCAGGTATGGCCTGCGGCCGGTGGCAGCAGTCACGCTAAAGGTCAGTTGACGTCAGAAGGCAGGACGGGCCATGCCGATTATTGCGGCACGTTAAGCTTTCGTCACTAAACTCTGCCGTTACCTGGAATCACGCGATCGGGTAGTGGGGTCAGGGCTCACACAAGCACTGCTTAGCGTGACTGCTGGTCCCAGAAATCCAGCCATTCAAAGGGTTCGAGTCAAATTGAAAAAAGAGCTCGGTGACAATGCCGGTACGTTATTTGTCTCTGTCCGCCGTTTTCACAGCCTGCTTTGTTGGAAGCTATCCAAGAACGATCATTTAAAACAGGTCGTAACTTCCCGCTGCATAATTAGTCACCTTGTGACCAACCGGGTGCCGCGCTTTGTTGTAATCCCCGTCCCTTCACTGTCCTCCTGTGGTTCCCCCAACGTCCTGTCCCCCCGCCGCCCTCTTGCCGCACCCCCGCCCTCTCGTCGCCCCCCCCCCCCCCCCGCCCTGTCCTGCCGCGCCCCGTCCACCTCACCGCTCACGACCGCCGGCGCCGCAGGGACTACGAGGAGGAGATGCTGCAGATGAAGAACAAGCTGCTGCAGCGGCGTGACCACCTGCGCCGCCGGCTGGCGCAGAAGCTGGCCAAGGCGCGCGGCGAGACGCCGCCACCCGACCTGCCGGCCCCGGAGCCGGGCTGGCCCCGCCGGCCAGGTCAGTCCACCGCTGCTGCCGCCGCCTCCGGCTGGGCCGGCGCTCGTATAGAGAGCGGGCGCGAGCCGACTGGCGGCGGATGGCTGTGCTTCTGCCTGGTGGCTGCGGTATCAGCCTCTGCTGCGGCTGTGATGCCGCAAATGTCAGGAAGTGTGCGTCTGGGGCTGTGTTTTTGCTGAAGGCTGTTCAGCCGGAAGATCCAACTGCAATATTTGGTACGTCTTCCTCTGGCTGGAAGGAGATGCATCTGCTGTGAGGGGTAGCATTGTGCTACTACGTTGCAGACAGAAGACATTGCTGATGTAGAAGGCACGGCATATATCCCACATCAGGTAATGATTTTGTGTAAGGGCAATGCAAATACTGTCAGAAGATATAGGATCAATTACCGATGTTTTACTGATGGAACGCCCGTGCCGAACTGGGCTGAGGGCGTGATGCCCTATACTGCACTCAGGGTAGCCCTGCCGCTCCCGTTCGTCGGTTTTGACGGCCGACCGCCGTCCCCAGTTGGCGAGAGGACGCCGAGCTCTGTCGGCACGCCGGACGAGCCCGGCTCGCGCGGCCGGCCTGGCGACGACTACGGCTCCGGCTACGGTGCGGACTACGGCGGCCGCGAGGCACGGCGCGGCGGCGGCGGCAGCGGCAGCGGCAGCGGCAGCGGCAGCGGGCGCGGAGGCTACGTCGAGGGCGAGTACGGCCGCGGCCGCGGAGGCTTCTCGGACCGCGGCGGCGAGGGCGGCGGCTACGGCTCCGCGCGCGGCGGCGGCGGCGAGGAGTACGGCCACGGCCGCGGCTACGGCGGCCCCGGTGGCGGATACGGCGGCGCCGACGACAGCTATGGCCCTGGGCCCGGCCGAAGCCGTGGCGGCTACGGTGGGGCGGACAGCGGCTACGGCGCCGGCGCTGGCCGCGGCCGCGGCGGCTACAAGGACGGCGGCGACGGCTTTGGCAGGGGTGGCTACGAAGAAGCCAGCGAAGACTACGGCCCGCGTCGTGGCGGCTACGGCGCACGCGGCCGCGGACGTGGCGAGCCCCCGTCCGGCTACGGCGGTGGGTACGGCCGTGACCGGGGCGGCTACACCGGCGGCGGCGGCGGCTACAACGGCGACGACCCGTACGACCCGACAGAGATGGAAGGCGGAGAGGGCGGCGAGGAAGCATGGGCTGGCTACGGACAGAGCTACGATGAGTGGGACGAATATGCAGACCAGTGAGTGTGTTGCCATCAGTGCTGTGTGCTGCTGCTGAAATGCTGTCTCATTGTGCTCACGATCGCGTAGGTTCTATAGTCATAGTACCGTGGTGGTATCGGACATTGATAATATGCTAGTATTGACAGTATGTTACACATTGTTTATCAGTTTTTTAGCCTGGCTGGCGTAATCGACGCGAGTCCATCATTCCGCGTGTAATGTATGAGGGTATCCTGCTGTTCGCTTGACCTCGGCGCAACACTCGCCAGCGGGCACCGTCGTTTGCCGGGCTCCGCTCTGCCTGCTGAGCGGCCTGTGACGTGCCAACCCCGCTCTCGCTGCTGAGCGACGGTTACGTGCCCCCACTGTCGCTGTTGAGCGGCGGGGAGCACGTGCCCCCTCTGTGCATGCTGACCTGGCGGCTTGCCCGCAGGGGAGGTCACGGCCAGGAGCAGGGCGGGGATGACTGGCAGGAGGCGGGTTACGCGGCACGGCAGCATGGCGGCTACCGGTACGGACGCGCCAGCGGCGGCCACCGCGGGTGCGGGGCTGCCCCCGGGGCGGGATGGCATGGTGGCCGGCGGATGGCATGCGGGCTGGCATCTCTGGCGCACACCCGGCTGTACGCCTTCTGGAACCTCTGCTCAAATTGTTTGTTTTATGTGTAATGGGTGAACGGCTGTGTACGCTTGTCCATGAACACCTCGTGTATTTGTGTATTATGAGATCTCGACTGGCACGTCTTGTGTTGTAGACAATAGTGATAGACGGCAAATAACGTATTGTAACTTGTTAATGAATCGTTCCCTGTAGTTTGGACTCACGGTTGGCGCTGGTGGTCTCGGGACTTCGCACTCGGGACTTCCCTTGTGTCCCCCACCGTACATGATGTGAGTCCCCGGTCCCAGCCGGAGTACCGGTCTGACCGGGTCCTCTTCTGGTGCCGAGCAGCGGTGGGGGAGCGGGCCCCGGCCCCGGCCCCGGCCCCGGCCCCGGCCTCGGCCCCGGCCCCGGCCCCGGCCCCGGCCCCGGCCCCGGCCCTGGCCCTGGCCTCGGACGCGGCCTCGGCGTGGGAGCCGGCCCCGGCCGCGGCAGGGACGATTCACACGCGGTCATCGACTACGGCCACCAGAACGCCCTGGAAGTCGTCTCAAAGTTCGAAGGTGAGTAGCGGATCGGTGAAGGGAGGGGTGAACTGGGACACCGCCTGGCCCCGAGTGCTCCCTGGCGTATTTGGTGGACTGGGTTAGACGCAGGCGGCACGGGTTGGTAGGCTGTGGTCCAGGGCATGGCGCCGTCTGGCGCCGAGGTAGTCGTGGTCCGCGCTGCCTGAACCTAGTGTGGTCAGGCTCTCACGCGCCAGCAGTGGCGGCCGTCTCCGGGTCGGCCACGTCAGCGGTGCCAGAGACTGCTCACTGCGCCCGCTCTGCCGCAGACCCGGCGCGGGGCGTGAACCCGCCGCCGTCGCTGAAGGACGCCATCGAGAGCGTGTACGAGGCGTTCAAGCGGCCTCCGCGCGAGCCGTCGCTGTCCGCGATGGACCGGATGGGCGGTGCCGGGCTGCAGCCGGAGGCGCCGCCGCCGCCGACCCGCCGCCCCTACGGCAGAGGTGACTCAACGGGCCACGCCGCCGGAGGAGCACGGCTGGGAGGTGACGTGAGGGTGTGACGGCGGGGTGGGGCTGTGTGCTAGTAGTGGTGTGCAGGTGGCGGCGGTAGAGTAGAGTGTGGTCCACACCACCTAGCTGTCCTAAATGCTCACTTCGTAGTAGTCGGCGTCCTCGAAGTGAGGTCTCGTTGTTGGTAGCATTCAGTTTGAAAAGACGCTGCCGCTTTTTTCAGATCGGTATCATAATTATAACATCGAAACCTTGGACTCGTGTTCGCTGTGATGCCGTCTGCCTCGACCCGGCCGCCGCCCCACATCCCACCCGTGTCTATTCGACAGACCCGGACGGTTACGGCCTGGGCCCGAGCCACCCCGATGACTACGCTGACCGGCGCTACCCACCTCGGCCGCGCTCGCGCTCGCCGCTGCGGCGCTCGCGCTCGCCCCGGCCGCGTTCGCGCTCGCCGCGCCGCCGCTCGCCGCCGCGCCGCTGGCGCTCGCGCTCGCCGCCGCGCTGGTCGCGCTCGCCGCCGCGGCGCGAGCGCAGTCCGCCGCGGCGCAGCCGGTTCGACTCGCCCTATCACGAGTCGCCGCCGCGCCGCAGCCGCTGGTCGCCGCCGCGCGGCCGGCCGCCTTACGAGATGGAGGAGCGGCGCAGGATGGAGCGGGAGCGGCCGCGCCCCGGCCCCGGCCCCGGCCCCGGCCCCGGCCCCGGCCCCGGCCCCGGCCCCGGCGGCGAAGGCTACGACAGACGCGTGCGGTGAGTGGGCTGGGAGATGGGAGAGGAGGGGAGGGGGAGGGGTTAGGTGGAGGGAGTCAGATTTCGACCATGAACGGCTGTTTGAGGATTTGTTGGATGTGATTGCAGGCAGGTGTATTGTGTACATCTTGGTATAATTTCTTGGTGCCTCAGACGATGGGAGTGGATGCACCTGTTTATATATCGATGCCTCCCTGAAGCTGACCCTCCCGACACCTCCCTTCTTGCCTAGCCAGCCAGCTCGTAGGTCTGCCTCTGCCAGCTGGTCCCACGCCACCCGCGGGCTGCTTCTCTCCCGTCGCTGACCTCTCCTCCCCGTCGCTGACCTCTCCTCCCCCGTCGCTGACCTCTCCTCCCCTTCACTGACCTCTCCTCCCCCGTCGCTGACCTCTCGTGCGCCGTCACTGACCTCTCCTCCCCTTCACTGACCTATCCTCCCCCCGTCGCTGACCTCTCCTCCCCCGTCGCTGACCCCTCGTGCGCCGTCGCTGACCTCTCCTTTCCCTTCGCTGACCTCTCCCGTCGCTGATCGCTCCTCCCCGTCGCTGACCTCTCCTCCCCTTCGCTGACCTATCCTCCCCCGTCGCTGACCTCTCCTCCCCCGTCGCTGACCTCTCGTGCGCCGTCGCTGACCTCTCCTTTCCCTTCGCTGACCTCTTCTCCCGTTGCTGACCGCTCCTCCCCGTTGCTGACCTCTCCTCCCCTGTTGCTGACCTCTCCTCCCCATTGCTGATCTCTCTTCTCCCGCCGCTGACCTCTCCTCTGTCGCTGACCCCTCGTTCTCTGTCGTTGACCTCTCCGCTTCCGCCGCTGACCTGTCCTCCCCTTCGCTGACCTCTCTTCTCCCGTCTGACCTCTCCTCTCCCGTCACTGACCCTTCCTCTGTCGCTGACCTCTCCTCCCCCGTTGCTGACCTCTCCTCCTTCCCTCAGGATGGGTGGCGGGTCAGAGCCGCTGCCGGTGCCAGCGCCGGCGCCGCCGGCGATCTCGGCTGCGCCGCCGCCGGCGCCCGAGCCGGAGTACCCGACGGTCAGCATCGCCGACCTGCTGCGGCCGCCCGGCCGGCTGACGCGGCCCACTAACCTGGTGATCGTGCTACGCGGCCCGCCCGGCTCCGGTGAGAGCGGCCGACGGCGCCGACTGCGCCGGGGCGGGCGGAGGCTGTGACTGGCGCCGCTGCTGTCACGCCCGGGATGGAGTGGACTCCGGCTACAGTCACGTGTGCTGTCAACCCTGCTTAGCTGAGAAGGGGCAGGAGGGCTCCGCGTCAGGGAGTCCTGTCTGGTTGGGTTGGGGAACGAGCAACTCGTGCTGTTTCTGAATTCCCAGCAGGGGAAGCCTGGGAACTTATCGCCTGTTACGGTCTCGATCTGGCACGAAGCGATTAACTTAGAGATACCCTCCCCGCGTGCCAGTTACTGACAAGTGATAACCATCGTGAGCATTTAGCCGTATTGCAGGCTGTCTCATATTTCATTCCATCCAAGGGAATTCTTTTTGCTTTAAAAGGGGCTAGAACACATTCTTCACAGTCGGTCTCGTTGGCGAGTCACTAGAGCATTGGAAGCGCAGCAGCCACTTGACTGGCCCTTGCACTGTGAGTACGGTGCCGCGTACCCTGCACCGTGACCTGTATCGCCAACACCCGCGGGGGTTAGCGCCGTGACCACGCGCGATCCGCAGGAAAAACATACACGGCCAAGCTGATCAAGGACCAGGAGGTGGCCAACAAGGGCAGTGCCCCTCGCATCCTCTCGCTGGACGACTACTTCTGCACGGAGAAGGAGAAGGCTGTCAGGGACCCGGTCACAGGGAGGTCCGTCACCAAGAAGGTGGGTGTGACGCTGCGCTGTTTGAGACGCGCTGCTGGGCGGCGAGTGCCGCGGCCGACATGCCCCGGAGCGTCAGTGATCGGCCCCCGTGTGGCACTGTCATAACGCTTAGGCCCGTTTGGTGTGAACCTGAGTCTCTGCGTGGCAGATCAGTTACGCGAACTGTAGCTGACCAGTTAAATACGTGCACCCTATAGTGAGTCCTGACGGTTTTGTAGAGCTCGCTTGATCACACCTAGCTCTTTGCCAGGTTTGTGTTGCTGTGCAGCATGGAATGTAAGAAAAACAAACTCTTCAGACACTGCCCTCTGTCATGGCTTTTACCCCATGCTGCGCTGTGGGTGGTCAATGCCGCCAGCTGCACGATGTGTTGGTACTGCTGTGTTGTTGACCTACGGCTACCGTCATGACCCTTAGGTGATGGAGTACGAGTATGACGCTGAGCTGGAGGAGGCCTACCGGGCCTCGCTGCAGAAGGTCTTCAGGAAGACTATTGACGACGGCTTCTTCCACTTCATCATCCTCGACTGCGTCAACGCCCGCACCGAGCACTACGACGACATGTGCAACTACGCCAAGAACAGGGGTTTCAAGGTGCCGGCCGCCGTGATGCTGGCTTGTGTTGATTTCAAGGAGGAGGGATTTGTTCTGTCCTGGTGGATGTCACGTGCTGGATGGTTATGTGGGCTGCGGGGCTGCCTCGACCTTGCGGTGCCGTGCCGGTCTGCTATGAATTGATGACTTGATACACTTTCTCCTGTGTGAGATTGCTATTCTGGGTCTATCTCCCTTCAGGGCCCTCCTGTCTCTGTGTCTGGCACTGGGAACGCGGTTACTTATTGAGTGTCTGCTTCTTTACCCGCGCCTGCGAGGTCAGTGACTTCTGGCATAGCCGGAATGTTCTAGGCCCTGCTTTTTCCCACGCTGCACGAAAGGCGACCCGCAAGGTACGTGGTCCTTCGTGGATTCAAACCCGCGGCCTTCGGAGCGCCGCATGACCCCACTCCGTTGGCCGGCAGGTGTACGTGGCGCAGATGGACATGGACGTGGCCGCGTGCCACAAGCGCAATGTGCACGGCCGCTCCCTGGCGGACGTGCGCCAGGTGGTGGAGCGGTGGCAGCCGACGCCGGCGCGCTTCATCCGCGTCGACGTGCGGCCCGTCCTTCAGGACGACAGCATCCAGGAGGTACGAGGGCCGGCGCCCCGACACGCGCCAGCCGCCGGTCTGGGTACGACGCGGAAACGGTGTAACAGGAGGTGGGGTGTTGGCTCCAGCTCTGGCGGACGGTCGGCTCGTGAGGGGAGGGAGCTGGAGGGAGTCGGGAGTCGGGAGTCGAGAGTCGAGAGTCGAGAGTCGAGAGTCGAGGGTCGGGGGTCGGGAGTCGGGAAGAGAGGGGAGGGAGCTGGAGGGGATCGGGAGGGGACAGAGGGGGCTGGAGAGAGTCGGGAGGGAGCTGGAGGGGGTCGGGAGGGGGGGGGGAAAGGAGCTGGATGGGTTGGGAGGGGAGGGAGAGAGCTGGCTGGAGGTGGGTGAGACAGGCAGAGCCGACACAGCACCTGATGCTAGGGGTCGCCACCGCTGCAGTGTATGGGGAGTCGAGTCGGTGTGCGGGCCGGGCCAGCGACGTCCGGTGCCACAAGGACCGAGAAGCTGAGCCAGGGCAGGGCCTGGGGCGGAGGCGGGCGAGGCGCAGGCGGTCGGCCCGGGAGCGTCGCGCGAGCCGGCCGACAGCCCGCCCCGCCGATACGCAGGCGGTGAAGAGCTGGCTTTAGGGACTCGTCGGAGGCGTCGGTGCATTTGTGGACAAGTTGTCTGTCTGTGCGCCGTGCCAGCGGGCGGTGGCGTTCTAGCTGCAGGTTCTGTGGTTGACGTGCGCTCCCATTGGCGAGTTCCTATCAGCGTGGCGCCGTGCTCGCACGCCACGTGCGCGTCTCAGAGCGACCGACCAAGACTGTCCGTCTTGTTCGCTCTTCACATCGGGTAATGCGTGCAGCAGACAGTGCCGGCGGTGGCCCGTCGGAGGTAGTGTCGCCAGGCGCCGAGACGTTGTTGGTGTGCTCCGGCACCTGTCACCGCGCGCAGGCTGCGCTGTGTTGTCTGGACAGCGACGCGGCGCGCTCCAGCGCCGGTCGCGGCCACCCCGGACTGTGCCGAGTTCCCGCCCGTGGTGATGGCCCTGGCGCTGATCCATCCGGCTTCACCATCCCTCTCCGCGCAGGTGGAGATGGAGGACACGCCTGTCGAGGAGCCAGCTGGCGAGAAGGACGCGCAGGAGCAGACGCCGGCCGTAAGTTACGAGTGGGGTCACTGGGGCTGGGCACAGGGGGTGGGGAGGTGGCCGGGAGGATACTTCTTGACACCTCCGGCCGAGACGGGCGTGCTGTGGTGTGGGACGTTGGGGGATATCACGCGGTATGACGATCATCATTGCTAATCATCGCTACATCAGTGATAGATCATTGCCACATCAGTGATGGGCCATCATTACATCTTTAATGGGCCATCACTACATCAGCGATAGGTCATTAATAAATCAGTGATAGGTCGTTGCTACATCACTGATAGGTCGTCGCTTCTTCAGTGATAGGCCATCCCTACATCGGTGATGGGCCACTGCTACATCAGTGATATGCCATCACCACATCACTGATATGTCATCACCGCATCAGTGGTAGGTCCTCGCCACATCAGCGATAGGTCTTCATCACACCGTTGATAGGTCATCACTACATCAGTGGTAGGTCATCGCCACATCAGTGATAGGTTGTCATCATTTCATTGATAGGTCATCGCCACATCAGTGGCAGGTCATCGCTACATCAGTGATAGGACATCATCACATCATTGGTAGGTCATCACTACAGCAGATCATCTCAACATCATGATAGGTTATCGCTAAATCAGTGATGGGTCATCGATATTCTGAGGGCTCTTTGGATGCCGAGTAGCTCGGAACAGTACGCGCGCTGCGGTCAGTGCAGTGTCACTAAAGATGGGAGGAATTAGTGTTGTGCAGTGTGGTGCAGTGCATCGGAGTGTTGCAGTGTGGTGCAGTGCAGCCACTACTTCATAGTGCAGTGTGTCACAATCATAGCCAAGTGTGTCAAACAGTGACATGAACACGCGCTCAGGTGGGGATGGGGGTAAATTTGACCCCTGATAATTTTTCCAGAATGACTTCCAAACGGTGCGGCGTAGCCTCCCCAAACTATGTATAGCTATAGGCAATGCTATAGGAATATTTTTGTATACAAAATTGATGTACCTTGCTAGGTCACTGAGCTATGGAAGGCCAAAAGTCAGACCATGCGTGCCAGCAAAGACAATGCTCAGGAATCGTTCAATCTGATATGACAACGGAGTGTCAGGCGTAGCCATGCATCTCAGCAAAAGTTTCTGAGGCAAATACAACTAAATTTAGGATAATGATTAATCTCATTCAACTTTTTTTGATTGAATTGAATTGTTTGTTCACAAGGACGTCAATAGACATTATATTTGGTCTTCATGAGGGCCAGACGAGGTCACTGACTTAAGATGACTCAGAACAACGACGCGTTCTTTTAAAAGAATACTGTTTAGCATAGTAATTCTTGGCGCTTATAAAAATTCGAAAATCGAAACAATGTCGTAGGTTGCGGTCACCGCACTTCGCCGAAGGTCAAACAAGGTAACTGGCCTGAGATTAACACCAGTAACCTCCCCTCAGAACATGTATCTAGGTAAAAGGCAGTTGTATGAGATCTGAGGGCACTTCGGACACCGCTCTGGAGTTTGACATCGCTTGACTTTATTTGACATCGCTTGACCTTATTTGGCTCAAAGGTCATTACCTGGGGACCTCAAGATATTACAAGTGAATTAACATGCCGCTCTGCTTGCTTTGTGAATTTGGTGTCCCTAGCTCTTCTGATTTTTGAGATATCAGAGTGTCGATTTGCGTTCCCCCACCGGAGCGCGTCACATTCAACCGGCCATCCGGGTGCGTGTAAATGTGTTCGATGTTACCTGTGTTCTTTGGTGATGGGATGTGTGATATGACCCTTGTTGGATATGTGAACCATTTTGTATTGATCGTATATGTGGTGTGCTGTGGTGTGAGCAACTTTGTAAAGGATTCGACGCCCCCTACCGGGGTTCGGACGTTACAGTCCGTTTCGCTGAATGTTTCATTATGTTAGGCAAATATTGGCACACGACAACCGCTTTCTTGATTATCCCAAGGTTTTAGCAGCACCAGTAGCAAAGCTGATGCTCGTTAGATTAGGATTGGCTGCCCCCCTTTGCCAGACGGCACGATGATGTGTGGGTTGTCCGCGTGGGAGAGGTGACGCCAAGGCTTCTGGATGGTATCTCTGGCGTAGCCATGTGTCACTTTATACCTCTCCCACAAGCCCCACAGGGCATTGGCCGCCGATTCGTCGCGTCTCGTGTGAATCTGCTATGGCCAGTCGCAGCCGCTATGGCCACCAATCACTTTCAGGACTTCATATTCCAATTATCACCATCATTATCACCCCGTGCGTCATGCCGGATATCCTGCTGGCTCGTGGGCTAGAGTGCAAGTGCGTAGCTAGTCTGCCTCAGTAGTCATCTGAAGCCTTTGCGTCGCCCTCGAGATCTGACAGCAGCTGGAGTTTTACGATGGTATCCATGGCATGTGTAGGGCATTTCAAAAATTGATATGTGTGGTGAATATTTGCTGATATTTTCTCTCTGGGCGTCACCACCGGCCGGTGATAGGGGTCATGTGCTCCATCTTGCCATGTGATGCCGGAGGTACGTCCGTGCTGCTCAGTTCCAACCTCAGCTGGGGCGCGTCCCTGTCTGGCCGCTGGTGCCGCCTATGCCTCGACGATGTCTCGCGTTGGCTGTGATGCTGTGCGCGCGCTGTGTGACGTGACGTGACGTGACGGCGGCGGCCGTGGCTACCGTCGGCTCCCGCGTGCCTTCACCGGTGGCAGTCGGCGGCGGTGCTGCGTCCGACGTGGCTCCACTGCGGGCGACGCGTCGTACACAGCGACGACACAAGCGCAACGGCTGGTTCACGTGACGCGGCTGTAACAAGCGAACTGATGTGTGAAGTTATACAGTAGTTTGCGGGTATTACTCCACGACCTACAAAGGAGTGGCCACTCATTTTTTGGCCCATCTATTTGCTAAGGAAAAATAGACGAATGGTCTTTATGGTTCAGAGGAAGTGGTCATAATAATCCCTTGCGTCCCTGAACCGTGAGCGTCGGCAGTAATACCATGCTCGCGGGCACCATCGACTCATGGAAATGAAATGGTCAACGAGATATCGATGCCGATGCAGTTTACAAGTCGCGATGACAGAGCGATTTCATCGCACGCGCCTGCGACAGCGGGTTCGCGTCGCTGGGAGCGTGGTCTAGTGACGACCTGTGTCGCTCCTCTCGTCATCATGGTCCGTCAAAGTCTACGTACTGCCGCGGCTGATCCGGCGACCGATTACGCGCGCTGACTCAGAGAGGAAAACTTCTACGATGCTAGCGTGGCTCGGCTCTTCACGGACTGCTTCTGACCGCTTAGTGTAGCGAACCGCGGATACGCAATTCAACAGCTGCCTCGCCGGACCGGGCAGTGTTGTAGCCCGCGGATGTTTTAATGATCCTGTTTTGGTCAGATGGTCATTGGGCCAGCGACGGCCGATCGCTGACCGCCGTCGCCTGCTGCACATCTGGGTGTGACTGGTGCGTGTGATGTGATCGCACTCTCGGCTGGGGTGACTGGGGTGTGCTGAGTGTGACGGGTGCGTACCACCCACACCCTCAGCTGGTGTGACTGGTGCGTGTGATGTGATCGCACTCTCAGCTGGGATGACTGGGGTGTGCTGAGTGTGACGGGTGCGTACGATCCACACCCTTAGCTGGTGTGACTGGTGCGTGTGATGTGATTGCACTCTCAGCTGGGATGACTGGGGTGCGCTGGGTGTGACTGGTGCGTACGATCCACACCCTCAACTGGGGTGACTGGTGCGCACGATCCACACCCCCAGCTGGTGTGACTGGTGCGTGTGATCCACACCCCCAGCTGGGTGTGACTGGTACGTGTAATCCTCACCCTCACAATCACCTGGGATCCTGGGATCACTCCTCCACGCTGTGCAGGTAACGAACCGCAGATGCGACTAGTTGGACAAGTTGCAACAGTGTTCATTGATCATGATTCAAAGGCCAGCAGCAATGGCAACAGCTCCTGTGTGCCTTAAGTGGAAGGCCATGATTATTTTGACTCGCAACGCAGGTGCAAACAAGGAATGCGTACTGGAAGTATGTCGTGCTTAGCGCGCGTCATTTTGCAACTAGTTGCGGCCTTGTGACGACTTTGGGTGGTGGGGACGGGCTGCAGCTGTGCGGTTGATCACCAGTCACACGGTGGCCGCCGGTAGCAGCGGAGGGCGGCTGCTCGGTGCGCGGGATCGCCAGGGGCCACCTAGGTCACCGGGGTCTTCGGGTACGTGGCCCACCACCGGTGTCCTCCCGCCGAAGTGAGCAGCGTGTGACGCCGTAAGCCGGGGAGCTGTGGGGGGGGGGGGGGGGGGGGACGTCGGTGTGGCCGCGGTGGTGGCGGTGAGCGAGAAGATGCGCCAGCGGCGTGCGACCGTGCGGTGCCCGTGTCATGTCGCGGAGAGCGTGCCAATGATGCTGTGACAAAGTGACAGGTGACGAACTGCGGAAGGTGGCGCAAGTGTGCAGTGATGTGGGGAATGCTGTGGAATGCGATGACGATGTGTGGGTATGTAATCAATGCGGCTTGCCGCACGGCCGGTTCAGTCTGTTTGTTTACGTTTTCTTTAAACGTCATTCGCTAGGGCTGTCCCATGACGGGCGCGCCGACGCTAACCATCGGAACTGGCGCAGTTTGGTCCACCCGGCGGCGGTGTGCGAACCGAGACCCACTCCTAGAGACGCGGTCGGTAGTTGTTCTCGTCAACCCGTTCTCGTGGGGCCGACATCTCGCTCGCGCTAGCGGAGCGGGCCGTGGTGGTCGAGTGTGGCATCATCTGTCGCTCCACTCCCAGGAAGAGTCAGCCACCGTCAGCAAGTGGGAAAAGATGGACCCGTCCGAAGAACGATTAGGTAAGCACGAAACTCCTCATGGAAAGCTCTTTGGCACTGTCTATGCCCTATACGCCTGCTTTTCCGTTTACTGCTCACTGCCTCAGCATGCCCGGCGCAATCAGTCTCACCTCTGACGCGTCACAGAGGCTCGTTCATCACCGCGCAGCATTATTCTCACGCACTGACTTTTGCCACTGCGCCTTGTTGAGATGCGCCCGCTCGTCGCCGGGCACGTGCGTGACACTTGGCCGCCTCGTGTCCCGCAGACAAGCTGGACGGCGTGATCGGCGCCAGGAAGAGGAAGGAGTCGCACCCACAGACCATGCAGGACTACCTCCAGCTGCCTGATGACTACGCCAGCCGCGCTGCCGGCGCCGGCAACAAGAAACGGGTGAGCCGGACGGCCCCGGCCCGAGTGTTTTCGTTCCCGTGGCCGACGGAAAGAACGTGTGGGTGCGGGGAGAGGGGGGGGGGGGGGGGGGGGCGTGAAGCTAGGGCACGTGTGGTAACTGGGCTCCGTCGCGTTAGCGAGTCCGATGAAGTGTGATGTAAGGTGTGGCGTATGCTTCCGACGGTGCTTTTGATGACGACATTGGTGTTTTATGTTCGTTATCTGCCACTTGCGTTGATTTTGTTTCACGCTTTGACTCTTATGGCACATGAGAGCTCAGCTCTTTCTGTTTTGTATGAGATGTCTGGATGATCCGTTTTGCGGTAATGCCTTTATCGCATTTAGTAAGCATGGAGGCACTCCCACGTTCGTCCAGCGTGTGGCCGCGCTGCTGATTGGTCTGTCGCTCTCTTGGCGAATCAAGCTCTTGATCCTTACTATCGCTGTGTGAGATGGCTGGCTGCGTGACCTCTGTATGTGCCTCTGTACCTCTGTACATCTTTACCTATGTACCTTTGTATGTGCGTCCGGCCTGTTTGTATGTCTCCGGTCTCTAAGTATATCGCCTGAGCCCTAGATCCCCAGCCGAGCTGTGCGTCTCCGTGTGAGCGCCACATCGCCGCGCGACCCCTCGGTCGTCGCGTACGCCGCGCCTGACCACTATGGGGCCGCCAGGTACGCTGGGCCGACCTGGAGGAGGAGAGCCAGCAGCGCAAGATGCGTGACATGGGTTTCGTGGTGGGCCAAACGGACTGGCGGCGGATGACAGACCCCACCTTCGGCCAGTCAGCCCTCACAAGAACCAAATACATCTGAGCTGGCCGGCCGGCCGCCCCGCTGGCTCGCTCGCTCTCTGTCTGTCCATCTGTCTGTTTGTATGTGTCTGTCTGTTGTACAATAAACGGGGCGGTGTCGCGCTGCGGCGGCGGTGTGGCGCGGCGCAGGTGGGCGCGGCCGGCCTCGCGCCACCGCTAGCGAGGCGTCCGACGGAGGCGGCGCTGGCTCTGCGCCCGCGCGCTGGTAACGCCGCCATTCAGCGCGGGGTTGGCTGAGTGTGGTCACGACAGGCCTGAGTGGTAGTCAGCCCGTGTCTGCGAGTCATGACTAGTGGTAGTCAGCCGGTGTCTGCGAGTCATGACTGGGAATGCGACGAGTGGCTCGCACAGCTGGACATGACAGCGGCAGACCATTGCTTGCGGAGGAGCGGACGACTGTGGGATAAGAACCGACCGAGCGGATATCTGATCACTGACCCCAGGTCACGCCCCGCGGCGCGGGTGGCGAGGTCTTGCCTGACCTCCGCGTTTTGTTCACCTGGGCGAGTGGGTGTTCGCACGGAGCCGGAGCTCAAGCTCTCCATCTCACGATATGGTTCATCATGCGCATCGTTTCGTGGAAAAGCATCTGCGACCGCTGTACCCTTCGCTGTCCGGCATGAAAGCCAGCGCTCGACCGTCTGTTTAACCAGCTGACTATTTCAGAACTGCACTTTGTAGGTCTTGTGGAAATCTGTGGAGCAGGCTCGTATCTTACGCGGCGAAAGTCGAGAAAACATCGTTGCTGTTCATGCTCACGATGCGCGGCATCGCCTCCTCGTCCAACAACGGTGTGGAAGTCTCGCCCCGGACGCCGCGGTCGTTCGAGGCGAGGCTCCTCGCTTGGCGCCCGTGCCAGACGCAGCACGCGAGGCGAGACGGCGCTCGCGGCTGGCGCCGGGCCGCGTCGTTGCGGACAGCGCCGGCCCGATCAGCCCCTGGAGTGCGTGTCGTGCGTGACCTGGCGCTAGGCTGTATGCGGTCATCTGTCGACAATACATGTGCCGCGGTCGTCGGCCCGTCTCCTGCCGGTCTGGGTCGGGGGACATTAAAGCCTGCATGGCGTGGCGTGCCGCCGCCGTGATGCGTGCCCGTGCCCGTGATGTCAGCTTGTGTCCTGTGGCCCCGCTGCATAACAGGTACGTGAGGTTGAGTGAATTGGTTGTATTGGACCGTGTTTCGTGTTCGATGTCGTGCTGACGCGAAGGAAAATGAAAATCTATGACTGATCATTGTGCTGAAATTGATGATGGCATGTACACATATGAAGTACAGCATCGTAGTACTACCGGGAAGAGTTTCTTCTTCCGAATTACTGCTACGAAATATGCCATTTACGCCCTTTTGTACGGCAGACGGTGTATGGGTACACCAGCCGCGCATCAATTCACTTCATGTACTTGAGACTGGTGCTCCGTACAAAATGATCGACTCCATCGAAACAAAGATTCTCCTGATGTCCCATGATATACCTCCTCTGAGATCGGGTGCAAGTGTTCTTTGACAGCGGGCTGCTTCATCCCACGTGTTGACCGTGCCAAGGCTGTCGTGTATTCCCACCAGCGCTGCATGCCCTGCGGAACGCCCGTATTGTGACAACCCTGAGACGCTCGCCGCTTTCCCCAGATGAGCGCTGTCCGTAGCATGCCCTGGTGTTCTCGAAGGACCTCCGCCCTGGCGTGCTCGGGCGCTGACACCGGGCCGTCGCGTTGCAGGGTCTGGAGGCGCGCGAGCCATCGAGCGGGTCGCAGACAACAGACCCAACGGCCGCCGGACGGACGGCCCCGGCCACAGACCAGACCAACGGGCCGCGGCCGAACGCGGCCCCACGCTGGACGCCGGCGCGGCCCGGGCAGTCGCGCTGGGGCGCGGCGCCGCCGACGCCCGGTCCGCCGCCCCAGCCCCAGCAGCGGCTCTCGAGGCCCGGCCCTCCGCCTCAGGAGGGACTCGTGAGGCCCCTCCCTCCGCCCCAGCCTCAGCAGGGGCCCGTGAGGCCCGGTCCGCCGCCCCAGCAGGGGCCCCTGAGGCCCTGCCCTCCGCCCCAGCACGGGCCCGCGCAGGCTGGTTGGAGCCCAGCGGCGTCTCCCAAGCCAACTCAGTCCCCCCAGCCGCCACCCAATCTGGCTGCTTCGCAAGCCTCCAGTAAGGGCGGCTGGAGCCCGGCGGCTTCTCCGAAACCTAGCTCATCTCCGGCACAGGCTTCCAACAAAGTTGGCTGGAGTTCGGCATCGTCTCCAAGATCGAATCCGACCACTCAGCCGCCACCCAGCCCGGCCGCTACGCAGGGCTCCGAGAAGAGCGGCCGGAGCCCGGCTGCCTCTCCCAAGCCGACCACGACCGCGCAGCCGCCACCGAGCCCGGCTGCTTCGCAGTGCTCCAACAAAGGCGGCTGGAGCCCGACAGCGTCTCCCAAGCCGAGCCCGGCTGCTCCTGAGGGGGCCGCCAAAGGCCCGTCGGCATCGCCACAGCCCAGTGCGGCCGCCCAGCCTCGGCCGGGCCCGATTGCGCCGCTGTTGCCTAGTCCGACCGCCCAGCCAGCCCAGCCGTCCGCCGGCCAGAGCCAGGCAGTCCCGCCGGGCCCCGGCCAGCCGCACCGGTTCGGGCCGGGCGGTCCCGGCCAGCAGCGGCCCGGCTGGGGCCAGGCCCAGCAGCGGCCCAATCAGCCGTGGGTCCGGCGGGGCGGCCCGCTCCTGCAGCAGGGCCCGGCTCGGTGGACGACTCCCGTCCGCCCCATGCTCTGGAGACAGCGGCAGCCGCGGCCGCGGCCGCCGCCCTGGTAGGCTGGCCGCCGCTGAGCGCTCGGCCTGCGCTGAGCGCCGGGGCGTGCGCGGCGCGCTCGGAGCTGGCGCCGTGTGCGCTGCGGCGTCCGTCCGCCGCCGTGGGAAGACACCGAGACGGCAGGCGTCGGGCGACGGCGTGGCGTGTGAAAGCACAGCGCAGGGGGCCGGCTCCGTGTTTGGCAGGAGAACGCGCGTGGCGCCGCGGCCCTGACATGGCCGATGCCCGTCGCACACGCCGCTGACCCGAGACGGTCGGCTCGGCGAGCGGCGGACTGCCGCAGGACCGTCGTCATGGACCCCGCGCCGGGTCGAACAGGGCGGCTTCCGTGGCCACCGGACAGCGGTCAGATGGACGGCTTCCCTGCGGAGGCTAGCGATGCACCACTGGGACAGCGTCTGCGCGCCGGACGTGGATGATGTCATGGCACGTGTGGCCGGCGGCGGCTGTGCCGACGAGCGTAGCGAAATGTTTCCCGCCGGCTCGGCGGGTACACTCTGGCATGCGCTACGTGGCAGGCCGGAATGGCCCGTTTACGCTGGCGCGAGCGCTGTACAAAACGCACCGGCGCCACCTCCGAGATGGGGAACCCCACTCTTCGAGGAGCGTCCGGCGGTTGGCGTGCTGTCATAGGTAGAGCAAGTCCCTCATGGTCATTTGCGTGGATGTGGAACACGTGATCAGGAAGTCTGTTGGTTTGAAGTAGTGAGCTTTGACCGAAGCCTAGAAGACCGTTTGATTTCATGCGAGGTGCACGGGTGTTAATTAGTCGTCGGGTGGCATGACCGGATGGCTTTTCAAACGCCTGTTTAGGATGGTTAAATGCCGCTGCTTCTGCTGAGAGAACGTGATAGGCTCGCTTCTGGCGCGGGTGCTACAGCGGGTCAGGTGGCGTTACGTTGTAGGCGGGATCACTGGACACCGGTTCTGGCGGCAGCTAGTCATTTGCTTCGTCTTTCCAACTGACTGCCATGAGAACCGTACTGTGCGCTGGCAATGCGTTGATTCACTAACATGGGAGTGAAATGGAGGATTTGTCGTCGAACCGGGGTGTTCGGTGTTGCTGGTGTACACTCATACTAACTTCGGTTTGTAATTTCCATTTGTATGACATGCAATGTGAAGTGTTGGGCCCCGTCAGGTGGTGGTGCAATGCGTCACATGTATTTCAGCTATATGTTGTGAATAAAAGTACTGCTTCATCAGCGCTGGCTGGACGTTTTCATCGGCGGGAACAGGTACCGTAGGCCTGGAAATTCTGTATTAAGGAATGAAGTTCTTCGAGGCGCATGTTACTTTAAGCTATATGTAGTCACATTAACTTCTGAAGTTGCTGCGTAGTGATGTGGCACGGAGTGTTGAGCCGTGCCGACATTTACGGGGTAAAGTGGGTCGTGTGTAACTGTTGTATTTCATTCCTTTTTTCTCGTGCGTTATGCATTTGTTTTTTGTCGTTTCTGACAGCACTTTTGAGGCCCGGTAGTCTGTATGTGATTCGCGCCGGAGCGTGGTTCGTTTGTCTTATCATTGAACGAAGTCGATTATCCATCTGCAGGTGCTCTGCAGACCTCGGGCTTCCATGTTGTAACAAACCAGATCATGTGATAATGTGGACACAACGCATATTTATTGACAAACGCGTCCATTGCACTGTCGGAACCAGGTCTGAGCACCTCCCGTTGAGCACTCCTGGCCTTTGGCTATCGATCTAAAAAATAGCTTTTGGTGCCGGCGCACCTTTATGACGCAGCTAAGCGCACTCCGGCAGGCCAGGCCACCACCCTCCGCCCGCCCGCAGCGCCATGGCGTTCCAACCCGAACCGGAACCGGCCTTGAGCCTGCCGGATCCTCCTGGCAGAGCTCGCAGCATCCCTAAGCACGCCCTTTCCCTCTGCAGACTCCACCCAAGCACACCGAGTGCACTCCGTGACACGGGCGCCACGGAACCTTACCAGGATCGTCAGCAGCATCAGCGTATGACATATGGACGGAATCGGTCGCAAACGGCGGCGGTGGCTACGTTTGTACACTGACGAGATCACAGGCGCGTTGGACGGTGTAGTTCATCGCCTGGAACGTGTTCCCATGGCGCACAGCAATCCCCTGGCCGGACTTTATCACATAGGGTAACAGTCGTGCTTTGACGCGTATCATCCACACAAATGCCCGTCTCCCCCCGCCCCCCTTCCAGCCGAGAGCCGGGCCACACGTGTCGTGCACACGTCGGTGCAGCAGCCGCCGTACCTAGACGCAACAACCCGGCCGCAGGTGACTAGTGACGATATGCGCCGAGTGGAATATGACTAGCATCGCCTGCCGAACGCTCGCAGACTAGACAAGGTGCCCCGGTACCTGCTACAGTGAGAGCTGGTGCTGGCAATCTGCTGAGCGCGCCGGCGATCCGAACAAGGATGAACCCAAGAGCGGAAGATACCGAGACGCAACAGATCGACACAGATGTGCACCGTGCTCACAGCAACGCCGGGCCGGACCCGAGCTTTAGAAACGGTCACGTGATAGCGACTCAGGTCCCCTGTGTGACGAGTGTGGAGCACATGTGGTACGACATGACACATATCTAGCCACCTATGCGGGACGGAGACGAGGAACCACAAACGCGGGCATGGACTGCCCGGAACGACTACAAACAACGGTACACAACATTTACTCGGAAGGGTTATCACCCGACGGTGGATCGCCAATACGTGTTCCAATGCCTCCCCCCCCTCCCCCCCTCCCCCACATCCAGCACCCAAGACAACAATGAGGTGGACAGTCCCGTTCGGGGTCAACAGCGTCAAACCAACACCAACAAACATATCAACACCATCACAGTGCAGACCAAACGTCGGTGAGACACGCCATCGGTGTCAGTGAGTGCCCGCATCTCCGCGAGCGAGCGCGGCAGCCGGCAGCGGCGGGGCTGCCAGCCCCGCAGCGCTGAAGCGCCTGGCCACGCCCACCAACGGCCGGTAACGGGGCGCGGCGTACGGCGCCACGTGCAGCACGCGGCCTCTCCATCACCCCCGCAAATCTCGTGAGCGCACATGTGAACCCGCGGTACCACGTGCCGCTCATCCGGTGCTCTCGTGGGGCCACGGCGGGCCGCGCGCTAGACGTGGCTACTGCGGAGCGGCTCGCCCGCGTACACAGGGTAGCCGAGCGGGGGGTCGGCCGCCTGCACCGTCAAGTTCCGCAGGATGGTGGAGTGCGCCTGCCGACACAGCGACGGCCGGTCACGGGGCGGCAGCTGGCGGTCAGCCCGCACCTGGGCCGCGGCGGTGCTGCTGAATAAGCCAGCCAACGACGGGTCGGCGCAGAGGTTCTGACGGAGCTGTGAGCGGACCATTGCAGTCCTTGCCACTGACGCCGACCGTCAATGCGACTACACCAAGAGCAGGATCGCCAGCATACTGCACCGAGGTAACTGGATCACCAGCGCGCAACACCGAGGCAAGCCGGACCCAGCATCGTGACAACCACAGACGTTCATACTCAGCCCCACATAAACAGCTGATACTCATCAGCGCCGCGCCTGTAGAAGGCCAGTGCGGACGGAAGCCGAACGCGGCACCTCACCTGGAAGCTGCAGCGCCCCTCGTCTCACCTGGATGGTGCGGCGCCCCTCGTCCCACCTGGATGGTGCAGCGCCCCTCGTCTCACCTGGATGATGTAGCGCTCATCGTCTCACCTGGATGCTGCAGCGCCCCTCGTCCCACCTGGATGCTGCAGCGCTCATCGTCTCACCTGGATGCTGTAGCGCTCATCGTCTTACCTGGATGCTGCAGTGCCCCTCGTCTCACATGGATGCTGCAGCGCTCATCGTCTCACCTGGATGCTGTAGCACTCATCGTCTCACCTGGATGCCGCAGCGCCCATCGTCTCACCTGGATGCTGCAGAGATCATCGTCTCACCTGGATGCTGCAGCGCCCCTCGTCTCACCTGGATGCTGCAGCGCTTATTGTCTCACCTGGATACTGTAGCACTCATCGTCTCACCTGGATGCTGCAGCGCTCATTGTCTCACCTGGATGCTATAGCGCTCCTCGTCATCGTTGGTGACGTAGAGCAGCTCGAGCGCGAGGCTGGCCCAGACGCCGCGCACCAGCTCGCCACTCAGCCGACCCACAGACACCGTCTGGTCGCCCAGGCTCAGCAGGTGTGAGGTGTACGTGTTCTGCAGGTGGACGGGGCACGGCCGTCACGGCAGGCGCAGCCGCCGCTCAGGGCGCGTCGAAATACGCCCACCAGCACGGAACAGCAGCTTTCCCTTGCTCCCATGGTGCCATCGTCCCAGGCCGAGTCACGCCAAGTCCACGAGCAATCCGCATGGCATACCATATTTCATCAGCCAGGCTTGGCCTTACGGGGCCTCACCAGCCAAGACTTCGGCACAGGGAACCTCATCCCTTCTCCAATCCGCTCAACACGTACTGAGCGCGTGTCTGACGCCGAAAAATACGCACCTACCCAATTTCGCGCCCCCTCCTCCTCCGCTCGCCCCCTCCTTCCCCGCCGCCCGCCCCCTCCTTCCCCGCCGCCCGCCCTTCCCTAAACCCAGCGTCCTCCCCTCCCCGTCATCACTCACGCCACCTGCCCCGGTCCCACCACTGCCGCGCGCCAGCCCTCTTGGCTGCCATCATCAGCGTCCCCAGCCGGCTTCCCTGTTCCGCCCTAGCCTTGCTCCCCTTCAGCGGCCTGTTCCGCCCTTACCACGCTCCTCTCCCGCGGCCTGCTCCGCCCTAGCCTCGCTCTCCTCCTACGGCCTGCTACACCCTAGCCTCGCTCCCCTCCCGCGGCCTGCTCCACCCTAGCCTCGCTGCCTTCCCGCGACCTGCGCTCCCTTCCGCGGCCTCCTCCACCCTAGCCTCGCTCCCTTCCCGCGACCTGCTCCGCTCCAGCCTCGCTCCCCTCCCGCGGCCTGCTCCGCTCCAGCCTCGCTGTCTTCCCGCGGCCTGCTCCGCTCCAGCCTCGCTGTCTTCCCGCGGCCTGCTCCGCTCCAGCCTCGCTCCCCTCCCGCGGCCTGCTCCGCCCTAGCCTCGTTCCCCTCCCGCGGCCCGCTCCACCCTAGCCTCGCTCCCCTCCCGCTGCCTGCTCCGCTCCAGCCTCGCTCCCTTCCCGCGGCCTGCTCCGCTCCAGCCTCGCTCCCCTCCCGCGGCCTGCTCCGCCCTAGCCCCGTTCCCCTCCCGCGGCCCGCTCCACCCTAGCCTCGCTCCCCTCCCGCTGCCTGCTCCGCTCCAGCCTCGCTCCCTTCCCGCGGCCTGCTCCGCTCCAGCCTCACTCCCCTCCCGGCGTACTCGAACGTCGTCGTAGCCGAGCGAGAAGAGAAAGGGCGTCTGTTCCAGCACGGCGTCGCGCCAGCCCGGGTCGGCGTCCAGGCCGATGTACCAGCTGGCCGCGTACTCCTCCAGCGTGTCCAGCAGCTCGTCGTCCGAATCCAGACCGCCCAGCAGCACAGAGTCCAACGCCAGCTTCAGCGACCATCTGGCGGAGGGGGGGGGAGGGGGGGGGGGGCGGGCGAGTAAGGTAGCTGGCGCAGCACGGTGAGGGCGGTGGGGATGAAGATTAATGAGATCTGATTGCTTAATTTACTTAAGCAACTCTCATCGCCCAAGATCCAGTTGTCCACTATCAATTGTCATTAGATTGTCGAGAAACGAAACAAAGAAGACTGAGGTGAGTGACTGGAAGAAGAACGACTACATGAGGGAGGCCACCGTCGGGAACCGACACTGACCTGTGGGCCCGCTGGGCGAGCGAGGCCACCGTCGGACAGTCACCGGCAGGGACCGATACCGACCTGCAATCCCGCTGAGCGAGCGAGGCCACCGTCGGACAGTCACCGGCAGGGACCGATACTGACCTGTAGGCCCGCTGGGCGAGCGAGGCCACCGTTGGACAGCCACCGGCAGAGACCGACACTGACCTGTGGGCCCGCTGGGCGAGCGAGGCCACCGTCGGATAGTCACCGGCAGAGACCGACACTAACCTGTGGGCCCGCTGGGCGAGCGAGGCCACCGTCGGACAGTCACCGGCAGACACCGACACTGACCCGTGGGCCCGCTGAGCGAGCGAGGCCACCGTTGGACAGTCACCGGCAGGGACCGATACTGACCTGTAGGCCCGCTGGACGAGCGAGGCCACCGTCGGACAGCCACCGGCAGGGACCGATACTGACCTGTAGGCCCACTGGACGAGCGAGGCCACCGTCGGACAGTCACCGGCAGGGACCGATACTGACCTGTAGGCCCGCTGGACGAGCGAGGCCACCGTCGGACAGCCACCGGCGGGGACCGACACTGACCTGTAGGCCCTCTGGGCGAGCGAGGCCACCGTCGGACAGCCGCGGAGCCAGCTGACCCCGGGGCCGTCGGCGGCTGGGCCGCTTCTGTACAGGCCGAGCACTCGGTCGGGCGTGGAGCTGACCTCGATCTGGGGCGAGACGGGGCGGTGCTGGATCAGGCCAGGCCAGCGGTGAGGCCGATGAGATGAAACTCGATGGAACACGACCATACGATGCCACCTGCTGGAACATTCTCCATGCACACGCACATGCATGTTTGGTAACAGCTTGGCAAGAACTTCCAGTTCTCTACGCTTCACCACGAAAAGTTATCGTAACCCCTCCGTCGCACTACGAGTCGTGGCAAACCACGAACTCATGCGTCAGCGGCATACAAGCGCACATTCCAAATTAGAGACAAAAAACGAACACCTTGGCAGCTCAATCAGCGGTGCCGGGCTCCACAACTCTCTGCCGTTGCTGACCTAACACCGCATACCTCTCTGGCGGTGCCGTGGTAGGCCGTGTCAATCAGCTGACAGAGAAGTGAGTAGTCCTCCTGGAGCTTCTCGGCGCCCTCCTCCCCTCCGAGCTCCCTCATCGCCTGCTCGCCGACGCCGAGGAGCCGGCCGAGCGCGCGCAGCCAGAACTCGCGCGGGAACGGCGAGGCCAGGGCGGGCCGCAGCGGCGGCGCGGCTCGCGTCCAGCCGGCCGGCGGCGTCAGCCGCTGGGCGGCGGCCGACGGCGGCCGCAACGGCGGTATCAGCGGCTCCCAGGCGGGCCGCGACGGGCGCCGGCCCGAGCTCGGCCGCGACAAGGCGTCGGACGGCACCACGCGCGGCGCGCTGAACAGCCGGGAGCTGCGCCGGCTGGACGGCGCCGAGCCGCCGGCAGCGGCAGCAGCGGCGGCGGCGGCGGCGGCGGCGCGTGGCGGCGAGCTGGCCGCCGACGGGATGGGCGGCAGCGTTGGGCGGCGCGCCGACAGCGAGCCCTCCTCCGGCGGCGGTGAGGTGAGTGAGCGCACCTTGATGGTGGTGCTGGTGATCGCCAGCGGCACCGACGGCTCGGCGGCCACGCCGTCGACGCCGCCCGCGTCCGCCGGCTCCTCGTCGTCGAGCATCTGCCGCAGCCAGGGCGCGGCGCTCAGCGTCAAGCCAGCCGGCTTCTTCGGTTCGAAGAGCAGCGAGCCCTGCGAGCCGTCCGACCACTCGCCCACGTCGGCCACCAGCGGCGGCGGCACCGGCGAGCTCAATGCCGTGCGGTACCGCTCGATGCTGTCCTCACGCTCCAGCGGGCCCGCCGCGTCGGGCTCGCCGCCCTTCGGCTCCAGCGCCGGCTCCGGCTCCGGCGCCAGGCAGCGCGCCGCCAGCGTCCACGCCAGCACCTTGGGGAAGAGCTCCTCGACAGCGGCGAGCGTGGCGCTGTTGTCGATGACGCCGGTCAGCTGGCTCCGCGCGTCCGAGTAGCCCGGTACCTGCAGCTGCGTGAGCGGGCTCAGCGTGTGGAACCAGAACGGCGCCAGCCGGCCCGGCGCCTCGGCGATGCGGTCCTCGTCGAACGCCGCGTCGAAGATGGCGTCCACGCGCGTGGCCTCGGCCGCGTGACACGAGGTCTCCTGCAGCTCCAGACCCTGCAGTGGCCAAGCCCGGGTCAGACGTGGTGTCGCCGGGCAGAAACAGTGTATAACAGGAACCAGTGGCCAGCCGTCACATGTACTGCCGTCCCACTGCACGCATCACCATCGCGGTGCGTATTTCCAATTCAAGAACTTTTGGAAGGGCTTAGAAAACAGAAATCATTTGGAAAAACGCAACCGTAACGACACATTTGTTCATCTCCAATAGTAGACACCGATTATGCTGAAAGGCTACAATATCAGCAAAGAAAATTTCGGCCTTGAGTAGGCACCATGTCCACGAAACCCGTTACAAAGCGTTCTACACAGTCGGAGCGATCTGGCCGGCTGACGAGTTTTCCGTGCAGGCGGTTATATCGCCACAGTTGCCGCCGGTGAGCGTTTCACACGTACGTGACCTTTCGGGATTCCGGAGCAGTCCCGCCTGGAGCGAAGTTTACCCATTGGCGGGCCGTGACGGCAGACATTCACTGTGTTCTGGTGTGTGTGTGGGGGGGGGGGGGGGGGCGTGCTCGTACCGCAAGAGGGAAGGAATCTACGAGCGCTGAGTGCGCCGGCGGAGGCCGATGCAAGTGGGGACAGCCAGCAAACACAGCGAGCCGACGCATGTGAGTGTGAAAGGTGTGAGGTGTGAAAGGCAAGATGTGAAAAACGTCGTGCGCCCCGGCGCAACGCTGACGTACAGAGTCGGCGTTCAGTGAATGTCTACAACGGCAATAAGGGTCACACGAGTACGACGGCGCTAGCCTGTAACGTTCGCTTCTGAGGCGCCGACATTATTTCCACACATCATCGCATGCCAGAAGTGTAATGCAGCTGACAAAACCAGATGGTGTCTGTCGGCAACGACTTGTCGATAGGACATTACGCCTTGTACTGTCCGTACGAAGCAGGATTCAAGACGAATCAGAGAAATGCAAAACAGTACAACTCTTCCACCCACCTTGATGCTGAAGTAGATGTATCCATTTCCCATTTCAGCCACGTAAACCCACATAAGGCGGTCCTCGAATCTCAGCAGCAAATAGTCTCCTGCCTGCACAAAACCTGAAAAAGGAATACAAATTTGTGATCCCCAACTTCCCACGCATGCATTTTTCTCAACTGCACTTCCTGGCCAAATAGGTAAACAGGTCAAGATTTTCCCGTTTACAATGAATGAAACTGCCAGGCATCTAACACTAGCCTTTACATGTAACATTCATATCCCATGTTTATTGACATTCTTGTAACTAGAATACAACACAGCCTCCTCCGAAACCTAGTTTGCAGCCATGCAGCTTGGTATACAGACGAGGTGGATCACAAGCAAAGAGAACAACGATTCCATACGCGTCACATCGACAACGCCTAACTGTGGAGGACGATCGCAATGAAACGTCCTCGAACGTATAGATCCGCCAGGCCAGGACTACAACATACGCCAAAGCAGTGTGAACATATCAAACTTGAACTGCAACAAGCCAACAGCCCACTACCACACCCACACCAGGGCCATCACTGATACAAACATTGGGCCCATTGGCGTGCTTTGTAGTGCTGCCAGCAATAACGCAACAAAACATCATCAAAGGCCGACCTGTGCAAACCGTACACAGTTCGTCAAGCCTTAAAATCAAGGGCTAATCCAACATATTTGCGGTTTTCTGAACAAACGCGGAAATGTTGGCGCCGGGTGCCGGTCGTCCGTCACCAGACCACCGACCGCCGCCTGCCCCCCACTGACCTGCGCAGCCCATACGGACAGCGCGACCGAGCCGCTCCGCCGTCGGTGCTGCCATCTGACGGTAGTAGACGGCGTCGGGGCCGGCCGACTGAGGGCGGCCCGCCTGGCGGCCGCCCAACCGGCGCGGGAACGTAGGCACGAACAACGGCAGTGTGCACAGCGGCAGCAGCGGCGCCGAGAGTGCGCACGAGCCGGCCAACAGCAGCGCCGTCATCGGCAGCAGCAGCGCGTTCACGGCTGGCCGGGCGACGATGACGTCAGAGGGGAGGCGAAGAGGCTGGCGGGTGGGGGTCACTGGAGAGGGGACTAGGACAGAGGAGACATCACTTTTGCGCATATGCTGGCCAGTTTCACAGCAGCCCTGCTATATCAGGGAATCGTGAAAACCACCCAGCCTTCGTTGAGAATTTCTTCACATGCTGACAAGCTGGACAGAACCCAGCAGTGATGCACATTGATGGAAGATCTAATTTCAGGTAACAAAGCTCGGCAAGACTAACACTTCACCAGCTCTGAGACAGGGGAAAGCGCCTTCAGGACCCCATTTCGACGGTCGAGAGCCCAACATGTACCGAGCAGGATGTAGCCGCGACGCCTCTCCTTCACCACCAGCCACGTGGCCTGCAGCACGAGGCACATGTACAGCTTGAACCAGAGCTGCGTCAGCCGGTTGTGGAGCCAGCTGACGACAGTTAGTTCCAGCTCTGGCCGCCACGCAGCCGCCGCGGGCCACACCAGGCGCAGCAAAAACACGGCGCAGGCCTCCGGTAGCGCCGCCTCGGGGTTTTGCCAGATCTGCGGCGTCAGAACAACGGTCTTAGCGGGTGGGAAAAAAAAACACGGCGGTGTTATCGGAGGGGCACAGGGGAGTAGAAAGTCACAAGCACGCCAAACGAGACTGGCCGCAGACAACGGCCTCGCGTACGCTGGCCTCACGTCTGTATGCTATACAGGAATGTCTACCAACGCTGCATAGTTACTAGTATGCCAAGGGTACCCAAACATTTAACCCCTCGTCTGGCTACACGGCGTGCTTATGAGACACCCCACCACCAGCAGCAGCGAGCAGCTTACCCAGCCCCCCGAACTCATGGCCGCCTTTCGAGCCAGATCGGTCGGGACGCACAGCACCCGAGTTCACCACACGGACCTCTAGCAGGCTGGCCTCCGACAGCGAGTCCAGCAGACCCCCCGGAGCCGCCCGGCGGCGGGGGCCAGATGCCATGCCCCGGCCGGCCAGCGCCACCCACCCAGCGGTAGCAGCGCAGCAGGCAGACGGCGAGCAGGCCGTCCTCGAGGGAGCCGGCCGGCGGCCGGGGGTCCGTCTCCGTCGCCCACGTCACGTACATGACCAGCAGCAGCGGGCTCACTGGTCGCACACGGAGTCATACGTCAGGCGGACACGCAGCTGCGACAGGGGCGAAGCGCAGGGATGAAGCGCAGGGGCGAAGCGCAGGAGCGAAGCGCAGGGGCGGGGAGCAGGGGTGAAGCGCAGGGGCGAAGCGCAGGGGTGAAGCACAGGGGCGAAGCGCAGAGGTGAAGCGCAGGGGCGAAGCGCAGGGGTGAAGCGCAGGGGCGGGGCGCAGGGGTGAACAGCAGGTGCGGGACGCAGGGGCGGGGCGCAAGGGCGGGGCACAGGGGCGGGGCACAGGGGCGGGGCACAGGGGCGGGGCGCAGGTGAAAAGGAGGCTGAGCACACTGATGACTTCATGGTTACCATTACTGAGTAACTTCAGCAGTAAACGTGAATGTGTACTCATTGAACAGAAAGAAAACAGTGAAACAAAGTCAGGATAGAACTTCAGACAACAGATGACAGAAAATAATTTCAGCATACAAAACAGGGCACGCCGCGAAATACATCAGCAAAAGTTGAGTAGCAAAAGATCAGGGTTAAGTAATAAAGCCAATAATTCCACCCACTTACTAAAGAATTGGCACATGGAAAACGTTCTATCCTGAGGACCTTTAATGCTCACTGCACCATGGGCACACCATCACGCCCCGTAGGGCAGCCCCCTTCCCCCCCCCCCCCGCCTGCCCCCAGCCCCACCACAGTCCGTGAGCGCCGGCGCGTGCGCTCGCCGCTCACCCAGCGTGTGGAACCTGAGGGCAGCCTGCCGCAGCCAGCGCAGCCGGCCGCCCTGGCAGGCCGGCCGGTACGCGCAGTTCCGCACCAGACTCCAGCAGTAGACGCGCTGCAGCTCTACGAACACGGCGCGTGCCAGCGCCAGCAGCACCAGCACCGCGCCCAGCGCCGGCAGCGCCCCTGGCGGCCGCGGCAGGAAGCGCGCGGCGGCCGCGGCACCGCCAGCCGCCGCCGCGATGGCCGCGTGATAGAGCAGAGGGCACCACCAGAGCACGGGGAGAGAGAGGCGGCGGCTGCAGAGCGCGCCGGCGGCCCACCGGAGCAGACCGGCTGAAACATCCACCACACGGAATCCGTCGGTTTGGGGGACGGGGGGACGGAGGCGGCGCTAGCGGACCGCGGTCGACGGCGGATGACTTACCAACATCATTAGTTCGTTAATCATTAGCGATACACAAGCCCCGAAATCCGAGCACAAACCGATCCAACGCGACAACAGTCCGCCATGCGCCATACGCCACTCTACGTGATCACTGCAGACGTGGTCCGTCTGTAGCCCCGCTCCCCCCGGCCTCTGCAGCGACGCACCCCACCACTGACCTAGGTCAGCGCTGATCAGGCAGCCGCCGACGGCCGCCGGCCAGAGCCGGGCGTCAGGCGGCAGCAGCACCACCAGCGCCGCCTGGCAGCCGGCCAGCAGCAGCTGCAGCGCCAGCCGGCCGGCCGTGACGCACGCCGAGCCGCCGCACGCGAACACCTGGCGACAGAGCCCGCGGTGAGCGGCGCTGACCGTGGCCGCGCCGCCAGCACAGCATCAAGCACAGGGGCAGATGGAAAGAACCACCTCGCTACATACATTTCACTCTCGACGCACGCGAAGACAACGCAGACATTAGAACATCCTCACCAGTGTCTGCTCAGAAAGCCAGCCAATGGCGACGTCCCAGGGCGGCAGGACTCCGCCCAGCCAAAGCAGCGGCAGCGCGCAGATGGTCAGCCGGCAGACGACGTCACATGTTAGCAGCCAATCAGGAGCCGGAGACAGGCGCCTGCCACCAATGCCACGGCTAACATGTCACACACAACCAGGTGGTCATAAGCGGAGACAAGAGCCTTTTGTGAGAGTAAACACAAGTACGGACAGAGATCACGTGCTTTCTCTGCTCTAAGTATCACTGCATTACATTCGCATAGCATTACATCACATGTCTACATCATGCATTCCCCAGCTGATAATGCCAGCTAGAGACCTAGTGCGAGTGGCCACAGATTTCCGTACGCTTTGAAGACCGGGATGTATATTTGGACAATCACCCAACAAGGCCTCGTGCGTCTCATAGCTATGCCATCGGCATGAACCGCATTTAATAACCCTTGCCACCATCAATCACCATAGCTAACAAGCACATCACACAGCACCGTTGTTGCCCCGCCGTCAGCGTCAGACCAGAGTCAGCGCGGCCTTCTCGTCACGTTCGTGCACGTGCGGGACTCACCCGAGCTTGATCACCAGCAGCGGCACGGTGAGTAGCAGGACGTGGAGGGGCCTGTTGAATGCGGCCAGGTCCCACTCGTCCAGCGCCTGCAGCGTGGCCGGCTCCGGCGGCCGGGCCACCGTCAGCGAGTACAGCGCCGCGCAGACACTGAACCAGCCCAGCACGGGGAACACGGCCACCATCGCCGAGCCTCGCTGTAATGGAGGGGACGGGCTGAACCAGACCGGCACGGGAAACACGGCAATCATCGCCGAGCCCCGCTGTAACGGAGGGACGGGCTGCACCAGACCGGCACGGGAAACACGGTCACCATCGCCGAGCCCCGCTGTAACGGAGGGACGGGCTGCACCAGACCGGCACGGGAAACACGGTCACCATCGCCGAGCCCCGCTGTAACGGAGGAGACGGGCTGAGCCCGACCGGCACGGGAAACACGGTCACCATTGCTGAGCCCAGCTGTAACGGAGGGAAGGGCTGCACCAGACCGGCACGGGACACACGGTCACCATCGCCGAGCCTCGCTGTAATGGAAGAGACGGGCTGAGCCAGACCAGCACAGGAAACACGGCAATCATCGCCGAGCCCCGCTGAAACGGAGGGACGGGCTGCACCAGACCGGCACGGGAAACACTGGTCACCATCGCCGAGCCCCGCTGTAATGGAAGAGACGGGCTGAGCCAGACCAGCACGGAAAACACGGTCACCATCGCCGAGCCTCGCTGTAACGGAGGAGACGGGCTGAGCCAGACCAGCACGGGAAACACGGTCACCATCGCCGAGCCCCGCTGTAATGGAAGAGACGGGCTGAGCCAAACCAGCACGGGAAACACGGTCACCATCCGACAGGGGAAACACGGACACAATCGTTGAGTTCCTCTGCAACAGGTAAGATTTGGAACTAATCCTGGACAGGACATACGGATCATACAAACTGGAAGCCGAAAAATGCACGAATAAAAATGCATTCTAACCCGACACAACGTATAAAGAGGAACCCATCAATGACCGCCAGGGTCCGGCACTCACGCTGACGATGTTGTCGAAGTTGGCGGGAGCGAGGGCGAACGTCGCGGCCGCCGCCACTAGGCCGGCTGCCACCGGGTGCAGCACCACGCTCACCACGCGCCGCTTTCCTGGCACCATGAATCCCCAGGTGGTCCAACGGCACAAGCCGTGAAACTCCACCTCATCGTCCTGCGCCAGCATGCTGGTCTTGGCCTCTTCCTGGGCGGTGGCGGCGTGGCGGGCGGCAAGCGCGCCGACTGTCTGCAGAACCATCGCCAGCAGCAGCACGCAGCCGCCGACCAGCAGAGCTGCCGGCCGCGCGGCTAGCAGCAGGCTCAGCGGTGCACCCAGCGCCGCCGGTGCCGTAAACAGCAGCAGTTGGAGCACCGGCACATAGAACGGAGCCGGGAATGGCAACCGTAGCCGCGGCCCACCCAGACCAGTCTGTACGAGGCGGCGGAGCAGGTAGTCCCGCTTGTACTCATTGATGACATTCAGGTTTGGTGCATCCATTGTGGAAAAGAAGGGTGAAGGTGGGAATGGGGGTGACTAGGCGGGTGGGATCTGGTCTGGTGTTGGGTGGTGTGAGGTTGAAAGGAGATGAATGATTCTGAACAGAATGTATTCCTGGGTTTTGCTGAGGAACAGGGCAGTGAATGTTTAAAGGGAAAATAATGATATAGAAAAACATCTCATGTAAGGGACTGATGGTGCTATGGTGGTGATGGATGATGATAGGAGCTGACGAAATGACTGACTGGAAAAAACTGACATGACTGACTGAAATCTGATGACATGTTGAAAGTATCTTGGCAGTATCATCTTGATTTTAATTAACTAGCAAGGACAAACAAATGTTCACCTCAAGCCACTTGTTTTCCTTATAAGCATGGGTGCATTCACTGTGCACTTATTGGTGTCTTCCCTGCTGCTGTCTTAACATAATGAAGCACTGCATCTGAAACATAATCATATGAGCATTCCATCCATCATAGCAAGCACAATTTGCGCTCAAATACAATATTTGATCTGTCATACTGCATGGGCCAAATCAATTGAACAGTGGCTTTGGAAAAATGGGAAACTCACCTAGCACTGTTATTGCCTAGACAGTAGGTATACTGGATGAGAAAGATGAAAATATGCTCAGTATTCAAGTTAAAAAATTAAAAGACATCAATTCATAGGCTGTAGCCTCTTGAACAGCTACAATATCTCTCAGCTGCTCCAGCCTTCAACAGATACCTTCCACTGAAAGCCTTGAATTTTCATGTGGAAATACACATGCTATATATTTCATTCTGATGAATTGACTGAGTAACTATGCTTAGTTCATGCTATCAAGAAGGACATATGGCAATAAATGCTATGAATGACAGATAGCTTTCTACCTACAAAATGCTGTGTGCTGTTGCTGTTGGAATTGGAGACCTTTAACAGCTACGAACACAGGCTTGTGCCTAACTACCAACTCCACCCATTGGGTGAAATACATTTCAATATATTAGTAATACACCTTATTAATCTGCACTGCAAAATTCACAACACGTCGAGGCAATACGCAATATACGACAATCAGCAGGAAATCATGGTGACCAAACAATCAAAAATATAAACCAAGCAACCCGCGGCACCCAAGCACACTCACAATATTGATCACATACGGTCGCGCGCACCACGATGCAATCATGTTGTTGCCAGCATATACAGCTATGACGCAGTTGTGACATTCGTGGAGGCACCAAACAATCCTTGACATATTTTAGTACAAAATGAACAATAATGCATAATTGAAAGGAGCTGTTTTTGCATGTTTAGGAAGCTTTTTGATCATATGAGTAATTATTTGTCTTAAATAAATTGTCCTATAACAAAAAAATGATGCAACTTTAATGAGTATTACAGTATAAAACATAAAAATGTTATAGCTGTTTCATATTGTTTTACAATTGGCGCGCTGCGTTTCCCGCCAAATCGCGAAAGTATACGCGCGGATTTCTGAGACATCGGGGTGCGTGTTGCGAGCGTTGAGAGGTCCGTGGGGTTGCCTCGGATTTAAGTGAATAAGAAGTTTGCTTGCGGGCGCTAAAAGAATTAAAATATGTCTGGGTTCGATGACGCCGGCATCTTCTTCTCGGATAATTTCGGGGCCGAGGATCAACAGGACCAAAATGAGATCAACTTGCAAGCTGTCAAGAAGAAATTCAGGGACTTCCTTCGTGAATTTCATGAGGGTAACTTCAACTACAAATACAGGTCAGTTCACCGTCTGTCATGTTTCTTATTATGTGATGTGGGCGTAGAACAGATGTGTGCGGCGTTGTGCGACGTGAGGACCAGCGTTCCGTGGGCTGCTGCGATGCTGGACACACCAAATGGTAGCTAAATGGTGTGGAACTGTATTTCCCCGCCCTGTCACTTACATTCATATATTTTAAGTGTTTCAGTACCACTGCCAATAGCCAGTTCATCAGAGGCAGTTATTGTCATAAATTTCATGCATGTTGCTGTCAAGAATTGGTTGTGGAAGGTCATATATTGGTATGTAACTGGAGAACATTGTATTCATTCTTGATAAGAAGATGATAAGTAAAATTGAAGGGATAAGTAAAATTGAAGGTGAGTTTTACAAGAGACCATGTAATCAATCATAAAGACATTTGATGCATAGTGACATCATTGCTGCAAGAATTTCAATATGAATGCTGTAAATCAAACCAATTTAAATTGAACTGATAAAAATGGTCAAACCAGTTACAGCATGTGAAGAGCCAATGCTGCAGTGATGATGTAAATTTAGTTCTGAGCTAAAACATCTCACAATATTTTTCAAGCAAGACATGCTTGAAGACCCTAGAAGGAAGGGTGGTCATTGTGCAAAATCAAGTGGAGTATCGATAATGAAACTGAATATCACCTAGCTCTTGTAATGATTTAACCACATGAGAAGCAAAGTTTGGGTTATTATGATGCATTCACACCAGTATTATATAAGATAGCAGGAGAACACTAAGATGTGGATTGGTAGGGTGAAAGGTAAGTTGAGGGAACATTCAAACAGCAGAGGTAGTTACAATGATAGGATATGGCTTTTATCATTGGTTTCATGATATGTAGAGAAACCCAAATTTGGAGGGATTTGGAAAATGTGACAATTTTGGAATGGCATGCTATGTTGTATGATCAAAATTAAAAGTTCTAAGAACTAGCAGCAAAACCTCATGATTTGCCATTGAAGGCCGGTGTTATTTGTTTCAGGGACACTCTAAAACGACAGTATAATCTGCAGAAATATTTTCTTGAAGTACTCCTTGAAGATGTTGCAAGCTATGATGAAACCTTGATGGACTGTCTGTACAAGAAGCCATCTGATCATCTACCCCTGGTAGGTTGTGAGCAAACAGGTATTAATATGCAGTAGCCATTGATTAGTTTTTTGTAGGCATGTTGGATAGGTCATACCTCATGTTTATGTACTCTGTCCTTTGCAACCACACAGATAAAAAGCTGTTTGATTTAGGATAGGTCTAGCTTGGACCGTGCATGTGCAGATGCATTCAGTCTGTATTGTGCTGGAGCACTGGTAGCTAACTATATATGGGTATTACCACTTCTATGTATCTTGTGTCGTTTTTTACAACAAATTTCCCTGTTGTCACCAGTTTGAGGAGGCAGCAAAGGAGGTGGCTGATGAGATCACCCGTCCGCGGCCGGAGGGCGACACCGAGGTCGAGGACATCCAGATCTGCCTCATATCCAATGCCAATCCGGCCAATATCCGAGACCTCAAGGCAAGCATCACCTCTCATGAAATGTTTCCTTTGGCTGGTGATCATGTAGAAATATGTTCTGAAGATATTTTCATTTGTGGTGAAGCAAATTCAGTGGCTTGAAGCATACAAGTTGTTATTTAGAGTGGTAGTCAGCATTGAGCTTAGTGTAACAACAGTTGACACAGATTCTGCAGATGACCTTTCGTCAGGTGTAACACAAATGTCTTGAAACGAGGAGGTACATTGCCATTGCCATCGTGCCGTACCTGTCCTGTGTAGTGCTGAGAGCTGGTGGTCTGACCGCTCCACCGCCCTGCCATTGCCATTGTGCCATACCCGTCCTGTGAAATGCTGAGAGCTGGTGGTCTGACCGCTCCACCGCCCTGCCATTGCCATTGTGCCATACCTGTCCTGTGTAATGCTGAGAGCTGGTGGTCTGACCGCTCCACCGCCCTGCCATTGCCATTGTGCCGTACCTGTCCTGTGTAGTGCTGAGAGCTGGTGGTCTGACCGCTCCACCGCCCTGCCATTGCCATTGTGCCATACCCGTCCTGTGAAATGCTGAGAGCTGGTGGTCTGACCGCTCCACCGCCCTGCCATTGCCATTGTGTCATACCTGTCCTGTGTAATGCTGAGAGCTGGTGGTCTGACCGCTCCACCGCCCTCCAGTCTGAGGCCGTCAGCCACCTGGTGAAGATTCCGGGCATCATTGTGGCGGCATCCGGGGTGCGTGCCAAGGCCACCCGCCTCTCCGTGCAGTGCCGCTCCTGCCGCACGGTCATCCCCAACCTGGCCGTCCGGCCCGGCCTCGAGGGCTACCAGCTGCCCAGGAAGTGCAACACGTAAGCAGAGGGCGTTGTTTGAAAACTGGATAACTGCATGACGGGCGGGAAAGGAGAGAGGGCACTGTGGAAGGGACTGATTCGCAGTGCGCGAGGAGCAGCCAATGGCAACTGAGCTCCCCTCATAGCTTTGAACATGGAAATGTAGCATGCTTTCTGATTTGTTCCTTAAAAATGTGTGATGGCTGGTGCTGACCTGGTTTGTATCTGGTATAGTGTTTTCATCTCTTCATAGTACTGCCACACGCAAGTACGTGTTCTATCCCAGTGGCCACCTAGTTCGAACGAGTGAGCTCAGTACAGTTGTCGATGCTGGTTGTCTGTCGCCTGAGCGGAAGCTGGGCCGAGCTAAGGCCCAAGGGCTCCGTGCTCGATGTTGGACTGCCACTCAGGTATTCCAGCAATGTCCAGTCCCACTCAGGTGGTATATGTTGCTCGATCTCTCACGTGTCCTCAGTGTTCTCAAGGAGCGGCGGGGCCTGGCCATATGTGCTGGACGTGTCCTCCGTGTCCTCAGGGGGCGGCAAGATCGGGCCACGTGTGCTGACGTGTCCTTCTTGTCCTCAGGGAGCGGTGGGACCCAGCCACGTGTCCTTCGTGTCCTCAGGAGGGCGGCAGGACCTGGCCACGTGTGCTGACCGTGTCCTTCGTGTCCCCAGGGGGCAGTGGGACCTGGCCACGTGTGCTGACGTGTCCTCCGTGTCCTCATGGAGCAGCAGGACCTGGCCACGCGTGCTGACGTGTCCTTCGTGTCCTCAGGGAGCAATGTGACATAGCCACGTGTGCTGACTTGCCCTTCGTGTCCTCAGGGAGCGGTGGGACCCAGCCGCGTGTCCTTCGTGTCCTCAGGGGTGGCAGGACCTGGCCACGTGTGCCGACGTGTCCTTCGTGTCCTCAGGAAGCAGTGGGACCTGGCCACATGTGCTGACGTGTCCTTCGTGTCCTCAGGGGGCGGCAGGACCTGGCCACGTGTGCTGACGTGTCCTTCGTGTCCTCAGGGAGCGGTGGGACCCAGCCACGTGTGCTGACGTACCTTCCGTGTCCTCCCTCAGCGAGCGGTGGGACCTGGCCACGTGTGCTAACGTATCCTCCGTGTCCTCAGGGAGCGGTGGGACCTAACCACGCGTGCTAACGTGCCCTTCGTGTCCTCAGGGGGAGGCGGGACCCAGCCACATGTGCTGACGTGTCCTCCGTGTCCTCAGGGAGCGATGGGACCCAGCCACGTGTGCTGACACCCTCCGTGTCATCAAGGAGCAGTGAGAACTGACCACGTGTCCTCCGTGTCATTAGGGAGCGGTGGGACCTGACCACGTGTCCTCCGTGTCCTCAGGGAGCGGTGGAACCTGACAACGTGTGCTAACGTATCCTCCGTGTCCTCAGGGAGCGGTGGAACCTGACAACGTGTGCTAACGTATCCTCCGTGTCCTCAGGGAGCGGTGGAACCTGACAACGTGTGCTAACGTATCCTCCGTGTCCTCAGGGAGCAGCCTGGCCGGCCCAAGTGTCCGCTGGACCCGTACTTCATCATGCCGGACAAGTGCCGCTGCGTCGACTCGCAGGTGCTGAAAATGCAGGAGCTGCCTGAAAGCATCCCACACGGAGAGATGCCCCGCCACCTGCAGATGTTTTGCGACAGGTCAGTCAGCTGATCCTCCGCCCGCTCCGGCTGACGCCTATACGGCAATTACGCCTGCTAGCAGGGGAGTGGTCCTGTGGCCAGTGTGAGGCGTGTCACTGCTGATGAGTTGGCTGGTTTGGGCATACCAGAAGTTGTTCCGGGCAGCTGTTTTCAACCCGATTAAGTCTCGAATGAATCCGATGTTTCCACTTGTATGCCTCGTCTTGGGCTGTAACGCAATGGAACAACTGGGCACGTGTGCAACAACAACTTCAGACCGCTGTTGTAATGGAGATGAGACCAGGCATAACTCACTGCCCATTGAAGGAGAGGTCTCACAAAACTATTGCAGCGTAAAGAGAAAGAAGGCGGGATTGCCTTTGGACAAGGATATGTTGCAACAACTGCATACTTAAGCAAAGAACAATCGTTATACCTGATCACTCCAATCGGCTCCTTTAACATGGACGAGGATGATAGCAAGTTTTTCAACCTGTTTTTTTCACCAAAGTTATAAATGTCGAACTTGTGGTCGATAATTTATGCGGAGAAGGAATATTTCTTTGCTATTATTCACATTTTGTGACATTTTTTCGCCTGTGCCCTAATACTTGTAGTCATCTCTTAGTGTAACGACATGCGCGAACATTATTTCCCCAGGTACCTGTGTGAGAGGGCGGTACCGGGCAACAGAGTTACAGTTATTGGACTGTATTCCATCAAGAAAACTGCGGGCTCGAAGGTGCGGTGCGCCGGCGCAACAGCTGTGGTGGATTCCTTGTCGATAATGACTCACTGCAGGGTGCTCATCAGTTTTTATTTTCGCTGCGTATTTTCATGAAGTGGTTTTGTTTTTAGTTTCCCGAAAAACGTGCATGGCGTGGATCGTGGGCTTGGTGTGCCCATGGCCCTCACGAACATACCCGCTAACCACATCGTCGTGCGCAATATGCCATTGTACCTGAGTATCACCGCATCTCACTCAGCCCGACCAAGAACGTTAACGAAGCGCTCCACTCTACCACGTAAGCACGGGCACGTTAGCAATCGGACGGTCTGCTGAGCCGGCCTGTGCGGTGTTTCAGAAGCAGGAGAAGGGTAAGCCCGGTGCCGGCATCCGGGCGCCGTATCTGCGGGTCATCGGTCTGCAGGTCAGCAACGAAGGAGCCGGTCGCACCGCCTCCGTCGGCTTCACGCAGGTCAGAGTCCAGGGGCAGTCGGGTGCCGCGGGGCGCGGCGCAGACGCGTTGATGGTGCAGTTTTTGACGTTTTTTTTTTGTTACTAGTCAGGGAGGGGAAGGGGATTTTGTGCTCCGTCGGGGGACTTGGTCTGTTAGCGCTAGCGTGTTATACACTGCTGTATATTTTGTGTATATATGTGCTGTATATTGAGCAGTATATTTAACTGTGCCGATCTGATTTTGTGCGGTTAGTAATCCCATTCTGCTGAGGTATCTGAAGTACTTTATTCATAACTGCTGCATAAAGTTAATGTCCATTGCAATAACCTGACAAACCGAGTTCGTAAGTTCGGACATTTGAAAGCAATGTGACCATGCAATTAAGGCGCCCAGAAGCCTAAATAATCAAAAGTTGGCAATTGGAGGGTGTTAGTGTTGTCCAGCTTCCCCCTCATGCCACGCTGTCACGATGTTTTAACCGCGTCCGCCGCCTGTTCTTCGTCACATGTACCGCTCGCCACCCTCGCTCGCGCGGGGCGCTCCCCCAACGAACATTGACCCCGCCCCGGCTCCCTGCCATCGCTCCGGGCATTCTGACACCGCCCCGGCTGTCCTGACCCTGCCCCGGGCGGTGCCTGACCCTGCCCAGGGTGCCGCCTGACCCGAAATCAAGCTCTCCTGACCCTGCCCCGGGCGGTGCCTGACCCTGCCCAGGGTGCCGCCCGACCCGAGATCAAGCTCTCCTGACCCTGCCCAGGGTGCCGCCTGACGCCGCCGCGGGCGCCGCCTGATCCCAGACCGAGCCGCCTTACCCCGTCCCCTCCCGCGGCCGCAGGAGGAGGAGGAGAAGTTCCGCGCGCTCGCCGGCTCCCCGGACGTGGTGGACCGGGTGGCTCGCTCCATCGCCCCCAGCATCTACGGTTTCGCCAACGTCAAGCGCGCTATCGCCTGTCTGCTCTTCGCTGGTGAGTGTCTGCTGCCGCGCTGAGGTCTGCTGCCGCGCTGAGGTCGGCTGCTGCGCTGAGGTCGGCTGCCGCGTTGAGGTCGGCTTCTGGCTGAGGTCGGCCGCTGCGCTGAGGTCGGCCGCTGCGCTGAGGTCGGCTGCCGCGTTGAGGTCTGCCGCTGCGCTGAGGTCGGCTGCCGCGCTGAGGTCGGCTGCTGCGCTGAGGTCGGCTGCCGCGCTGAGGTCGGCTGCCGCGTTGAGGTTGGCTGCTGCGCTGAGGTCGGCTGCGGCGTTGAGGTTGGCTGCCGCGCTGAGGTCGGCTGCTGCGCTGAGGTCGGCTGCGGCGTTGAGGTTGGCTGCTGCGCTGAGGTCGGCTGCCGCGTTGAGGTCGGCTTCTGGCTGAGGTCGGCCGCTGCGCTGAGGTCGGCCGCTGTGCTGAGGTCGGCCGCTCCGGCGTGGCCTCACGGGGTGGAGCGATGAAAACCGGTGCTAAGTCTGCGACCGAACCGGCGCTATGAACCCATTGCGTTGGTCGGGATGTTTGGCTATGTTTTTGGCAACATCAGGGGGGGGGGGAGCAATTGCAACTTAGCTGCCTGTTCACTACAGGTGTTGGGATGCATTGGTGTCTTGTGGGATAAATTGATATGTGCTGGCTAACGCCATAGCAATAAGTATGGACTCACTAGTTTCTGTTGCAGTGCACTGTGAACGTCAGTTACAGAACTGGTGCTGTTGGCGGATGTACCCATTGTGTTCCACACGCCAGACACTGTCTAGTCTAGTCTAGAACCGGAGGTTGTTTTAAAACGTCAACCAATTTTTACCAAAAATCGTAATAATCTTGCAAGTGCATGTGTTCCGAACGTCAAACCACAAAGAAGCCTTAAAGGATGTATGAGGGACCTCATCCCAGCTCCACACTCCTCCCCTCCACATCCCGTCGCTTCTTCTCGCCGCTGCTCGCCCGCCCGCCCCGATCTGGCGCTGGCCGTGCCGCCCTCCCACGCCATCCGCTGGTCCACAGGCTCGCGGAAGCGGATGCCGGACGGGCTGACGCGACGCGGGGACATCAACGTGTTGCTGCTGGGCGACCCCGGCACGGCCAAGTCCCAGCTGCTCAAGTTCGTGGAGCGCGTCTCGCCGGTAGCCGTCTACACGAGCGGCAAGGGCTCGTCGGCGGCCGGCCTTACAGCCAGCGTCACCCGCGACCCGCAGTCGGTACGGCATGCTCATCCCGATGCCGTCCGCAGCGAGGTGGACCTGCCGGCTTGCGGGGTAGCGGGCTCCCCAGTCGTGTTTGAATCACTGCGTGTCATACTGGTGGCATGGCACGGTTTACAGCGGACATTCCCATGGGCCGTGGACGGTCGGTGTTCGGCTGGCTCTTCGATGCGAGCGCAGCTGAGGCGTCATTTATCTTATGACAGTCATGTTCAGTCAAGCTCCGATGGCACGTGACATTCCATTCTCGCCTAAGTCGCAGTCGGTTCTCAGTCGCTAGCTCATCCCTGTGGCCCGCGTCGTCAAGCGTCCTCGTGTCTCGTCATGCGCATCCATCACCCACCGGCGTACTGAGCGCCGCGCTCGTGTTCGGGGGGCCTCGCCGGCGCTGTGTATGACGTCGCGCCGGCGCTGTGTGTGACGTCACACTGGCCCGGCAGCGTAACTTCATCATGGAAGGCGGCGCGATGGTGCTGGCCGACGGCGGCGTCGTTTGCATCGACGAGTTCGACAAGATGCGCGAGGAGGACCGTGTGGCCATCCACGAGGCCATGGAGCAGCAAACCATCTCCATCGCTAAGGTGGGTGGCCGCGACGACCGTCAAGGTCAAAGGAGACAAAGCACCGCCATATCATGTTAGATCGTGTGCATTTGTGTGCGCGTGCGCGTGTGCATCTTGAATCAGTAATCGCTGTGAAGGGATGACTTCTGGGGCCCGGTGATCAGCAGTGTGGTCTAGGTGGCATATACTCAGAAATGATATCAACGGCTGATAACTCAACAAATATGATAAATGCTTTTAAAGGCTCTATGTCCAAACGCCCTTTGTTGGAACGCCAGCCGACCGTTGCAAATGCTGGGTGGTTGTGCGCCGTGCCGAGCTGGTCGAGCCGCCAGAGAGGCCTTGTCGAGCCGCCTGAGAGGCCTTGCCGAGCCGCCAGAGGCCCTGATCTGATCGACTGGACAGCGCCGTTCCCCGGGGCGACCGACTTAATCAGTTCCCGCCCAGCGGCTGCATCAGACCAACTTGACGATATTTCCAGCTGTTATGCAGATGAACCGCTGAAAAGTTCAGAGTTATTTCTCGTTCCTGGTTAATATGCGACGTGCAATTAAATGAAGATGTGTGCGGTGGGGTTAGTCAAACGCAATAAAGTATCGGCTGGGGGGGGGGGGGGGGGGGGGCTCGCGGGCGATTTGGGCTCGGCAGACCAGATTCCAGACTCGTCGCAAGAGCACGGCTGGTTTCATGTGAAACGGTGGGGGGGGGGGGGGGCGGTAAGAGGGGGGAGAATGTCTGATCTGGACTTAAGAATTGGATCGGGCCGGTTGTCTTTCACGGCCGGTCCACGTCGTCTGGGGTGTGCTCCGAACCGTGCGAGAAAATGGGAGACGAGTTGGCAGCCTGCAGCGGCACCTGAGATATTGCAGCTTACTTCAGTGACACGTCCCCTCTCACTAACGACAATAAGCACAAGTTGTTTCATACATCAGGCGTCATAACACGTTCATCTTCCATTGCTTGCTCCATTTTATCATCACTCAAGAACTTTACTTAATCAGTGCCACTACCCTGTGCTTTGTTCTACGTTGAACCTTTCGCTGTCACCTGCAACAAACCATAAAACTTGTCTGATTTGCCGAGCTGGGTGCAGGAGTGCGGACTCTATCAGTCGACAATCTTGCATTTATTTCGTATCTTGTGGGATTTGGCTGTTCGGAGTAGCTGGTTTTCCTCCGCCGGGCTTTCAGACTCCGCTCGCCTCGGCTTACGCTTGGTGTGTTTGGTATCTGTCATGTAAGGCTAATTTGAGAATGGCGCTGCTTTTTCATCTGAAAGCTGCATGCATGTAACATTTGACTGTCTGGAAGTCTCGTTAATAGCTGTTCCGAATCCTCTTTCCCTCTGACACACCTTCAGGCAACGGGAGATCTTTACCCTCAAATCTTGGTCGCCCAACCAAAAGTGGATTACTGCCCCTTCTCGGCTAGAATCCTTAGTAGGTACGGTGTGAGCGCTGACCGGGGTCGTCCCTGCCTTTGCCAGGCGGGCATCACAACCACCCTCAACTCCCGCTGCGCCGTGCTCGCCGCCGCCAACTCAATCTTCGGCCGCTGGGACGAGCTGAAGGGCGAGGAGAACATCGACTTCATGCCCACCATCCTCTCCCGCTTCGACATGATCTTCATCGTCAAGGACGAGCACGACGCCACGCGCGACATGGTGAGGGCGGCCGCCGAGCACCGCGGTACCGGGCGCGTGACGACACCACGCGCGACATGGTGACAGCAGCCGCCGAGCACCGCGGTGTCGGGCGCGTTTGGGGGGAGGTGGCTGATTTGATCAAGCGTGGTTGTGGTAGAGAGGGTTGACTCGGCGCCAGTCCGCCAGGTCAAGCAGAAGATGCGTTCTACTTTATTACGGTCGGTACCTGCTGGGGTTCGGCTGCAGGCGGGTTTCCGTGATGAGTACTTGAATCGGCTCGGCCACAGTATAATTTCATCTGTTAGAGGCTTTCTGTGTTCATTGAGCACGGGCCAGATGTACAACCAGTGCCGGAAGCTTGCTACTTTTCTAAGTGATTAGTTGGATCATCTCATTTTATTCAGTATTAGTTTGTGATGCCCTCCTGGCCATACACTTCAGCAAGCAGCGAAATTCCACTACGCGAGGTATTTAAATGGCATGTTTAAATGCGCCTCTTGTAGAGTTACCGCTGGGATCTGTCCAGTTTAGTGTATGAATATGAAGGCTCTGGCCGCGTCGCCGTGCCTGGCGCTTCGCACTCCGTGCACTCTTTGTAACGGGTTTTAAGCGGTGCCTTTCCTCCCCAGACGCTTGCCAAACACGTGATGGGTATCCACATGAACGCGCTGCAGGAGGCGCCGCAGCGTGAGGGTGAACTGTCGCTCGAGTTCCTCAAGAAGTACATCGCCTACTGCCGCAGGTAGGCGCCCGCGGCTTACCACGTCCGGGGCGGCAGCGGGCGGGGCTTCGGCCACCAGGAGGGGGGTGGGGGGGGGGGGGGGGTCGGAGGCGCCGCTCCGCTCCGTCAGGCAAGCTGGGTGACCGGGTGTCCGGCCGGTCACCCTGCAACGCAACTCCCGTGTTTGTTTGTTTGCTTGTTTGACATGAGTGGTTGGCGAGGTGGTGGCTCGGTGAGTAGCGGTCGGTGACATTCTGACCTTTCCTCCGCACTTGCCGTGAATGGCTTAAAGCCCCTGACCCATTTCAGGCCAATGCCATAGTGGTCCTAAATGGCGTGTTCGGTCTGATTTATGGCTGCTTAAGTTTGTGGCTTGGGCGTGTTTCAGACGCCGCGCGATATCGTGAAGCGTAGGTGCCGGTTCCGTGTCGGCTGCATGACGCGGGCACTCCATCACGCTGCATGCTCGCTGGGTATTTAAACGGGTGTCGGAGTTGCGGAGCACATCGCATCGATTTTGAGGGTGGGACGCTAATTCCCTTGACGCCACATGGATGGTTTAGCGAGCTGTTACTTCGAGAGGGAGTGGGGGCGAGTTGAGTCGGTCCCCTTTCGGCAGCCCTCTCTTAATCGCATTCGACCAAGCGGCGACCTGTTGCGGAATAGCCGCGATCATTAGGACTCCCTTCAGCCGTTCGTGATCGCACCAACGGCACACAAACCGGCGCGCCCCGCTGCTGGTGCGGTCTGTGCAAGCCACACTGGTGCTCGCTGCTGGTGCGACCTGTGCAAGTGACACTGGTGCTCGCTGCTGGTGCGGTCTGTGCAAGCCACACAGGGGCTCGCTGGTAGTGCAGTCTGTGCAGGCCACACTGGTGCTCGCTGCTGGTGCGGCCTGTGCAAGCCACACTGGTGCTCGCTGGTGGTGTGGTCTGTGCAAGCCACACTGGTGCTCGCTGGTAGTGCGGTCTGTGCAAGCCACACTGGTGCCCGCTGCTGGTGCGGCCTGTGCAGGCCACACTGGTGCTCGCTGCTGGTGCGGTCTGTGCAAGCCACACTGGTGCTCGCTGCTGGTGCGGCCTGTGCAAGCCACACTGGTGCTCGCTGGTAGTGCGGTCTGTGCAAGCCACACTGGTGCTCACTGCTGGTGCGGTCTGTGCAAGTCACACTGGTGCTCGCTGCTGCGCGCGTGATTGTGCGTGTTGTGTCAGTCAGCCAACGCCATGCATGCGTTCTCCGGAACGACCGCATTCAGAATTCATGGTTGCATGCCTGCCGCTTGCCTAAAGATAAAGAGAAAGATAGTGAAAAAGATATGTTGGTTGAAATGCTCGGCCACGTTATCTCTCCAATCAACACGCGACTTAATTTTCCGGTTCAGTTCTGAATCAGACGGTAACTAGGCAGGTGAAGGGGTGTCATTGTCAGTGTCAGTGTCAGTTGCACTCAACTATCGGTACACGGTAAGCGTGACAGACTGCTGATGCCAGCTGTTCCCGTTGTACTGAGCGGCTAAAAAGGAACTGGTTGGTACCGTCGCTATTTCTTTCACACGAACTCGTGTGTAACTCATCGTCTTTATTCTGCTACCATGCGCGAGAAGATATACGACCACATGACGTTGTGGGAACTGGGCTCATTTACTCGATTTAATAGCGTTCGTCTGCGTGCACTGATGCAGTCCACTTCACTGTGTACCTGCTCAGGCTGTGGAACCGCCTTCCACAAAGAGCTCGCGGCTCCGCTGTACGAAGATTAACAAAGAGCGAAGTGCTCTCCAGTTGTGGTCAGTGGTGTGCGTACATGATACCCCACCCCCAGCTTTGATTCCTTTGATTCCTGCGCGCCTGCCAAATGAGATTGCTCCACGTTTTTACGGCGTAGTTTGCCTACCTAATAGCACGCGGCCTCGTCAAAAGCGCGCGTGATTGTGCGTGTTGTCAGTCTGCATCATTGTAACGTAACGGAATCATCGAGATAAGCATAGATAATAGAAGAATTGGTGAAAGGCAGGCGTAGATGAGCTTTGGACATGCAGTGGCACAAAGGCCGACTGTGTGTAATATATTGGTTATATTGGTATATTATAAAGGCGTCGACATAGTCACGAGCGTTAACGTGGTAATCACATCTGCTCGCTGCTTTGTGACAAACAATCGCAACACCGAAGCCCATCAATCAGCCGTGAGTACGATCTGTCCCACCACGTTGCTCGTTACTTCCGACCGACGCCGTGCGCCTGTGTGACGGCGCTGGTGCGGCTCCGCAGCCACTGCGGCCCCCGCGTCTCAGAGTCGGCCGCCGAGAAGCTGAAGAACCGCTACGTGCTGATGCGAGGCGGCGCGCGCGAGCACGAGAACCAATCGGAGAAGCGGCTGGCCATCCCCATCACCGTCAGGTAACCGGCGCCGCGTGTCCGGCGCAGACGCGCCGCCGGCCGCGCCAGTGGATGTCGTCGTTTTGAGGTGGCGCGGCTCGGAACCGGAGTAGGATACTGGCCTTCGAGCTGGACTGTGCCGGATTAAATTAGTGACGACGTGCCCGGCTTCGAGACTGTTTGAAAGGCACGTGTCTGATATCTCACGGGACCATTTGTGGTGGAAACAGGGAGATGCCGAGGGGACTGGCCTGCATAGAAGGCAAGGAACTTGCAGAAGACTTGCATGACGAAAACACGAATTTTCTGGTTCGGGTTGCGTCGGGTCTCGTGGGGGTTGTGGGCTGGAGCCTGTCGAGTCTGTCACTTGTTGGCCTGATTGGCCCAAATATGTGCTTCCTTGTGGTGCATCCCCCCCCCCCCCCCCCCCACTGCTCCCTAAAGCTGTCTGAAGATGCTCTAAGGAAAACAATTCTTGTTTCGTCAACTTACATCATCTAGAAGCTCTACGCAGCTCAGTTACCACCGGTGGCTAGTCAACTTCCATATGATGGGCATAGCCTTATCGGATGCCAACTGTGGTTTGCTCCGGGAGCCCCCCCCCCCCCCCAACCCCCCAACCCCCCTCGGACAGCTGGACACCTGGGATGTTGGTGCGCGCAGGGCGAGCTGCCGGTGTGGATTTGGTCCAGGATATCGAAATTCAGTTGCGCCTTGGCATCATATTCGTGGACTGCCTCTCTACACAGGCATTATTCATGTGTTGTTTTCGCCGGAAAAGCTATCGATCCGGCTGCATGTGCTAAGGGCACCCGTTTCATCCGATATCGTAAACAGCCCGCGCGCTGAAAAAAAACTGCGGGGTTAACCTGCTTGAAGTTTCCGATCTCTTGTTTTTCAAGCGTGTGTTCCTGACAATATCATCGTTGTGTACCAGTGCCTTTGATGCGCTAGACGTGTGGAAATTCGGGTTTTATTTGGTCACGGACGTTCGAGTCATTAGACGTCTAAAAACGGCGTGGGTTGTTATACGCCCAGCAAATCGAATTGTGTTCAAACTTTTCCATTGGTTCATTCAAGTGAACTAAGTTAGAATGCAAAGGCCAGTGAACCGCTCACAGCGTGCCACCAGAAATTTTTTGAACTGTCATCCCCAAACAACCACAAAATGAATCATTGGATGATCACGTGACCCGCGACCCTGCAATCCCAGCCATGCCACGTGCGGCGTCACTGACGGCGCCTCCGCCTGGCCCGCCGGCAGGCAGCTGGAGGCCATCATCCGGGTGTCGGAGTCGCAGGCCAAGATGCGCCTGCAGCCCTTCGCCACGGACGCCGACGTGGACGAGGCGCTGCGCCTGTTCCACGTGTCGACGCTGGAGGCAGGCCACGTCCGGGGGCTTGGCCGGCGCCGAGGGCTTCACCACGCAGGAGGATCACGACATGCTGGTGCACATCGAGCGACAGATCAAGCGCCGCTTCGCCGTCGGCTCGCAGGTCTCCGAACACGCTGTCGTGCAGGACTTCCTCAAGCAGGTGCGCGGGGGAAGCAGGCGGAGAGGGAGGCACGAACGGGCCTACCATTGGGGATGCACAAATCCTGTGTTTGGCTTGGAAGGGAGGTTATATATTATATATGTAACCTCCTAGGCTATATATATATATATATATATATATATATATATATATATATATATATATATATATATGTATATCGAAGTTGGCATGTTGAGATAAGTTGGCATGTTGAGGAACGTTTCAAGTCGTGGCAGACAGAAATAACATGTGAATGCAGCGCTTTATAAAGTGGTTGGTTCGGGTGCATTCCTGCCGTGTTTTCATCCATAATAACCTCTGCACCCGTGGGTGGTACACGCTATGAGGACATCGGCATGGGGTTGTGGAATGTTGTTGGTAGGCCGCGTCTGTTAAGGATAAGATTTACGTCATATTTATGTAATGGCGGCCTGACGTGATGGGGCGGGTTTTTTATTTAGAGACGGTCTGAAGTGGGTGGTTGTGTCCGCGAAACCGTTCCGCCTGACAGCGGTCCAATCCTCGTATGCGCTTTACGATGTTCAAATAATTGCACGTATTAGCGGTTGGGATTTTTTGCGCGTAGTTATTCACATTTCCTCCGAGCCGCGATATGCGTCAGGGCCTTGCCGTTGGGTGATTGGCCTGAGGGTTATTGATCGTCGTCAGTAATCGTGCGTTATTTTCCTCGGCGACTCGACAGTTTCGTTGTCCCGGCTATATGGCGCCGGCAGATAACTTCTTTCTGCCTGTCGTCCGGCTCGGCGCAATTGGCGTGCCTTGACAATGGGACACGCCGCCGTCTGTTTATTGGATTACTGCTGAATTATTAATCTAGTGGGCGGCGACACCATTTGTGCTAATGGACTCCGTCGGCTCAGCTTTCTGCTGGCGGTCGTCTCGCCGCCGCCTCTCAGGGCCGTGGATCACCTCGCGCTGTGAGCAGTACGCGAAGGTGGCCTGACGTTCCAGCGGCCGGCTTTACCGCTGCCGACTGTTACATGTCTCGGTTCCACTGGCGACTGTTACATTTCTTGGACAATTAAATTCCGCGACGACCTGTCATGTCCCCGGGCCCCGAACCCGCCGCGGACGACCGGTCCTGTCCCCGGGCCTCGAACCGGCCGCGGACGACCTGTCATGTCCCCGGGCCTCGAAGCGGCCGCGGACAACCGGTCCTGTCCCCGGGGCTCCAACCGGCCGCGGACGACCTGTCATGTCCCCGGGCCTCCAACTGGCCGCGGACGACCGGTCCTGTCCCCGGGCCTCCAACCGGCCGCGGACGACCGGTCATGCCCCCGGGCCTCCAACCGGCCGCGGACGACCGGTCATGCCCCCGGGGCTCCAACCGGCCGCGGACGACCGGTCCTGTCCCCGGGCCTCCAACCGGCCGCGGACGACCGGTCCTGTCCCCGGGCCTCCAACCGGCCGCGGACGACCGGTCCTGTCCCCGGGCCTCCAACCGGCCGAGGACCGTCACCTCTACCTGCAATATATGGTTTATATTGGCATGGGGGGGGGGGGGGCACCGCGACCTGCCCCGGGGGCCGCTCGCCGGGGTTGTGACGTCATGCCCTTCCGTGACCGGATGCCGGACCGGCTTGTCGGTCGGCCGACTGCGCGCGCCGTCAGCACGCCGACGCAGCTGAGACCGGGCGCCGGAACCGGACGGTGCTGAGTCGCCGCGCCGGGGGAGGAGGCGTCGCGAAGTTTGGCCGGTTTCGTCGTCCGCATGGCGGGGAATGGAGACCGGAAGCTGACTGTACGGGCCTGTCGTCTCGGCGACAGCGAACGGGATGGCGTCTGTGGTTATGCGTGTTGCCCATTTGTGGTGGGCTTCGGGTGGCCTCCGCTTCTTCCGGGAACCGGGGATGGCATCAACTTTGCTTGGGAAATCCTACACTGGTTTGATCTGTACGTTCCGGAAGGTCAGGAACGCCACATGCCTGATCTATGGACGCTGGGAAGTCCGGAGCTTTCCTTCATCCGCCAACACTCTGCTGACTTGCGGTCCCGCCGTTGCAGAAATTCCCAGAGCGGGCCATCTACAAGGTGCTGCACTTCATGGTCCGGCGTGGGGAGCTGCAGCACCGGCTCCAGCGCAAGATGCTCTACCGGCTCAAGTGAGGCGGCGCTCGTGTCCGCGCCCGGACGTGACGTCAGCCGGAGCCGGCGCCGCCGCGCCGCCGCGCCGCCTGCTGGCCAGTGTCCTGCCGCGCGCTCTCCGCTGTCCCTGGCGGGTGCGGGTCCGCCGTGTGATGGAGCCAGTGGCGGCGACTGTCGGACGCGGTGTGTGGGCATACCCCTCCGCACCCCCTGCGCGCCTTGCTCTTGTGGCTATCAGTTGCGAAGTTGGCTGCGAGGTGGGGAGGTTATGGATAGAACGGTTCACGCGATGGTCGCTCTTGAATGTCATGTACGCTGACCGAGCGCGCAGCCCGCTTTTACTAGTTGTGGCTGAGAGCAGGCGGGGTGTAAATGTGCAGCAGTCACAGCTCCAAGATCGGTCGCATTTTGAAACGTGTGCGAGGTGGATGCACCGTTTTCTAAACTTGTTGCGGATGTAAAATGGTACATGTCTGCCAAATACACCCGTGTTTTCTACACAGTTGTGTTGCACGCAGCGAAGAACGGGTGCACATATCTTAGTCGGCGAGCATGCAGATCGTCGACACCATGCCGAGTTCTGCGTCAAAAGAGACACGCACGTGGCATGCCTGGGTTCAGCACCATTTCTCCCTTAGACGCCGTGCGACGTCCAGAAACTGTCGCCTTTGTCCCCGGAGCGACGCTGCCACTCCGACTGACATGACTCGGCGAATGTGCACATCCACCTTATTGTTCTGGCTGTGAAGGTCACTGCGACAGACGCGGCGACCCGGGGACGCCGGGGCACGTGTGGCCGCATCGTTTGGCTCCGCTTGCATTCCGTGAGGCTGGGCGGGGGCCTCGCCGCGCCGGCGCTGCCCGGACGGACGGCGCCATCCCCGGCGGCCGGGCGCCGCCAGCTGACCGCAGGTGACTGGCCGGCGGACGGAACCCCGGCCGCTTCCATCTCAGCCTGCCGATATGTTTCGTCGCAATTTCAAGGCCCGGACTCGACCGGAGCAGATCGACTCGAGGGCTGATGCATCAGCCCAGCGTCGTGCAGACGCGCCGCCGCTCATCCTCTGATCGGGTTGGGCTGCGCGCCGCCCTTGGTATGCATGGGTTTGTGTTTGCCGTCTGCTCGCTCGCGGGGAGTTGAGACGTCTCTGAAAAACCAATTCGTCTTGAAAGCCAGTTTGCCGACTATGGCTTGTATTTCCGCTCTGATTGACTTTGGCCCGGTTACAGATTCAGGCTCCTCTTCGATATGCTCACGCGGCCGGTCGTGCTATTTGGGGCGGTTGAAAGGTCCGAAGATCGCGGCGTGATACAGTAAATATCCAACATCTCGTCCTGGGCCTGCTGACTTCCTCTTTTCCTGGAATAGTATTACATAAATCCGGCTGGATTAGTAGGTGTGTAATATGTATGGTGTGCCTGCATCGCGCTCAAGTATTTTAAGGGCTAAGCTCTGAAAGCCAGCTCGGGTTCAGTGGTTCCTGCTACCACACCAACTAATTACAGACTGCAAACGCAGCAATTTATTGACCACATAGCTTAATGAGACGCCAGCGACATCCACAAACAACTCCCTTAAATGATGCCGCTTTTGTTTCTTTTGGTGGAGCTCCAGAACGACTGCCTTCCCGTATCCACAATCAGGATAATTTATTGTGGTCCGGACACGGTTGGGTAGCGCTGTGTCGACCCCAAACTGCCGGCCTGCGGCGCCCGGCTTTGCCGCAGATCAGCTCGATTGCGGTTGACTTTTTGCCCGCTTCCGTGGCTGTTGTGATAAATGGTGTTTACTGGAGAGAGCGAAGGACCGAGGGAGGTCGATGGGCCCTTACGCTGCCTGAGTCGACCGGGGGCAGCCGGTCCCGACGCTTATTTGTCTCGTGCCTGACTGTGGAGCCTCGCTCCTTAACGATCATCGTCCGCCCATTTGACGGCAGCGTTGGCGACGGTTTAGTCCGCCCCCCCCCCCCCCCCCACCCCCCACCCCGTTTCTCCCGCCGGGCCTAGGAGGTGGGTCGGTTCGCCGCGCCCCAGGGGAATCGCAGGAGCTGGCTCATTATCCATGGCGCTCCCTCAGCTGAAAGTCAGGCTCGTAACGCTCTTGGTTAATCAGACGGGGACTCCCAAGACTGGGCAATTTACATTTATTTGGGCTCGGGCGCGGACCCCACGCGCGTCACTCGGCACCCGGCAAGCCTTTCCAATCTACGTCGGACGAATACGTTTGCAACACATTCTATAATGCTATAAATGCATCACTTCATTCATATTTGCGTGGCGTAACCAATGATCTATTGAAAAGAAGATGAACATGAGGTGATGTGGCACAGAACCTATATTCATCTTCCTCCATGCTCCCAAGAGCCTGATTTCGTCAATTAAAATGCATGGACGGATGGAGCAGGGCGATGAAAAGGCGCTACCGTCTGGCAGCCGTTGCCATTAAGGCTGGGCTGTAATACGTAGCTGAAACTAATTCTTGGTGCAATGTGATCTGTGCTCATAGACAACATAGCTTTCCTGACCTAATGACGCTTAATGTAATGCATTACCCTCACACCCTTACGGAGTGTAATGGGCTTATAAACCAATCATATATATATATATATATATATATATATATATATATATATATATATATAACTAAGCAATGGAGCGTGGTAACTTGTATGGCACGAGTGGAAAGCAACATCTCTGAAACCTCACACAAGTAATGAGGTGTCGCGTATGTCAGCGTACGTGTGTCGCGTGCTTCCGCCGCGCGTAGCGCGCGTGCATGCTGGGACGGAGAGGACCCCTCCAGTGTCAGGGCCCCGTGTCCGTACCGCGCCTCACCCTTCCGTCCCCTCCCGTTCGTGCGCTCGCTCGAGTCTCCTACAGATCGGCTCGCCCCCCCCCCCCCCCCCCCCCCCGGGGGGCGTCGCGCGCGCGTCGCCCGCGGGTCCGTCGGCGTCCCGCGGCTTCAGGCTACCCTTCCAGACTGGGAGCGGTCGATAGCCGCCCGCCCCGCCACGTCGCGCGAGAAAGTCGCGAAAACACCGAGGGGGAAATAAGCGGCCGAGAGGCTCTCCACCGGCACCCCACCGCCAATCGACTTATAAGACGGCGCCCTGGCCGCTCCTCTGCAGGCGTTGGCATAACAGCTGGCCGATTACACGCCGCCAGCTTTGCTCTCGCGTCGAGAGGCAATATGCGTGCTCTGTGGACTGCTGTAGGCGGTGGCTTAGGCAGGAAGCTTGCTCGGCCGCCGCGCCGGGTGTGTTGCACAGGTTTCTGGCGTTATGTTGTTGACGTTGCGCTCCCTTATTTGCTCGAGCGGTTGGCGCGGCTTCACCAGATCAAAGGAAACTATTGAATGTTGTATGTGCTGGTTCCGCTTTGACTTAGGACTATCCTTCACTTGAGGTTTTGAAATCAGATGGCGTGCTAGCAGACTGCATACTGAAGGGCATCTGCACTTCTACCACCGAAACGATACTTATTGGTGAAATGAGTCCTAGATGCCATTGTACGTTGCACATATTTAGGATGTCATGCAATTTGACTCCCACGAGCACGGGCGGTAACGGCGTTTTGTGTATCTTAGCTTTGTAGGCTTTTTCAATGACTGTATGCAATTGCATGTTAAATGCAACTGACGTCAAAAAGCCTTAGCCTTCCAGCTTACTTACGAGCGCTGCAAACTTCAACGGCAAATGCTCTTCATTTGCATTAGGTCCGTTGCAAACAGCTTTCAGGCCGTCTGAATAAGCCTTTGATCTCGTTCACTCGCACGCCAGCCTCATTAAGCCAGACAGAATGTTTTTCATACCGCTCATGTTTGGCGTTGCTTGAAGAGCCATATCGCCTCGGGCAATATTTTTGCGCTCACGCTGCCGCGGAGAACGCGCATTCAACTCAATCACTCCTCTGCTGTGACATGGAAACCCGAGGCATGCTTGAGGGCCATATCCGTTCCACAAGCTGTCACGCTGGCCCGTTCCCAGACGTACGTTACGACCCGTCATATCTCAACGGCTGATGCCCAATCCCGGCCCGAGGGCGCCGGCGAGCGGGTTCAGTGGCTATTCGCAGGGCTCGCGCCGCAGTGATGCTTCGGCTGGATGGGCGCGGCGACAGGCGTGCGATGGGGTACGGAGCGAGCTCGTCTCCGGCGCTGGGCAGCGCACCTGGTGCGCGCGCCGTGAAGGCTCCGGGGTTCGGCTGCGGCGCCCCTCGGGCGTCGACATAACCGGACCTTTGCTCGGCTGCGGGGTTCGGCTGCGGTGCCGCGCGGGCGTCGACATAACCGGGCCTGAAATTGGCTGCGGGGTTCGGCTGCGGCGCCCCACGGGCGTCGATATTACCAGGCCTGTACTCGGCTGTGGGGTTCGGCTACGGTGCCCCGCGGGCGTCGACATAACCGGACCTTTGCTCGGCTGCGGGGTTTGGCTGCCGTGCCCCACGGGCATCGACATAACCGGACCTTTGCTCGGCTGCGGGGTTCGGCTGCGGTGCCCCACGGGCGTCGACATTACCGGGCCTGAGCTCGGCTGTGAGGTTCGGCTGCGGTGCCCCGCGGGCGTCGACATTACCGGGCCTGAGCTCGGCTGTGGGGTTCGGCTACGGTGCCCCGCGGGCGTCGACATAACCGGGCTTGAAATTGGCTGCGGGGTTCGGCTGCCGTGCCCCACAGGCGTCGACATTACCAGGCCTGTGCTCGGCTGCGGGGTTCGGCTGCCGTGCCGCGCGGGCGTCGACATTACCAGGCCTGTGCTCGGCTGCGGGGTTCGGCTGTCGTGCTCCACGGGCGTCGACATTACCGGACCTGTGCTCGGCTGCGGGGTTCGGCTGCCGTGCCGCGCGGGCTTCGACATTACCAGGCCTGTGTTCAGCTCCCGGCGCAGCCGGAATCATCTCCGGAATCAGGTTTTAGTCGAGTCAAGGTTTAATGGAGTCAAGTATATTGACGGATTTTCGAAGATGTGTGGCGATGCAAAAAAAAAAACGGCTGACTAACGCGTTTTCCCCCTTCAGCCAGCTTACATGCGCAGAAAATGGAGCAGCGCACGCAACCCTATCTTATAATAAGCATGCACTTACCTTCAAT